CTGCGTCTATTTCCTCCGATTCCACCATTCATGTTGTTCGAAGAAGGTTGATTATAGTCAACTCTAGGTCCTCCACTATGATCTGGGCCAGGACCACGCTTTGAAGCGTCCGCCCACTGCGATCCCGGCTCTGCTCCGTCTGGTCGCTCGAGAGTCATGCCTGCATGCGCCCATGGAGGAACAGCAACGTCTTGCTCCAAGGGTCGTGACTCTTGTTGGTCCTCTACTGCTTGTTGCTGTCGTTCTTGCTGCATCATCTCACAGCTTGTCGCTGTCGTAGTCGTTGTGTCAACAGATGAGAAGGGCCAGGCACTAGGACCATCCATGAAGGAACCTGCAACAGTTGCACGCATTTTGGCGTCTCGGTTGTTGTTTGCATTCGACCACAGAGAAGATGTATTGAAGTTAGTCCCCATCCCATAGAAGGTGTTGGACATCGACGCTGCTTGTTTCGGGAAGCTAAAGTTCAAGGTTCCAAAACCACTCATGCTTGTCGCAGCTGCACCTCTGGGGTTTTCTCCTCCTGGCTGTTTACGTGCAGTTTCACGCTTTCTATGCATAATGAAGTCTCGCTTGGTCATTTTTGACAACCGGTACTCATGTCTTCGAGGCTCGAAGTTGGCGTGATTCTCAGCCAGAATCATGGACGCTGTGCGAGGAGAGGTTTTGGGACTGGGACCTATGTAGTTGTTAGCTGTAAGATGCTGAAGATTATCATGGTTGTAGTTGTTGTTGTTGTTTGGCACTAAGAACTGTTGATGTTGAAGAGCAGGTCTGTTGTTCATCGATTGATGTTCTTGTTGCTGTTTTTCTAGGAGTCGTTCATGCTGGTGCGCCGCAGGCGCATTACTTCTTGCTGGTTCTATAACCACAGCAGCAGAGGGAGGTGAGGATTCATCTACCGGAAACATCTGGTCTTCATCGATCTCCTCTGTAGGTCCTCCGGGTTTCTGCGGCGATCTACTGCCGATATTTTCTTCTATCTCCTCATCTTCAACATTCTCATCTTCAACGTCTTGGTGTACGTGCAGCTGTACCGAAGCTCCTGAAAAAACTGGAGGAACTTCCGCACTAGTAGGTTCTAATGCAGGTTCCAATCCACCTATGCCTAAACTTACTTGTGGTCGTTCTCTCGACTTGGGTGACACCGATAGCCATTTCTGGCTCCTACGATTCGTCTTCCCGAAGAGCGCAGTCGGTGACAACGTCTTGCTAGCACTATGGCTTTCCCGACTCCGACTGGGAAAGTGATCGATAGTATGCTCGAGGGTAGCACTAGCTGCAGCACTAGTTGTCGTGCCTCCCACACCTGATGAGCTATCAACACCTCCCAACTGCGACTGCGTAGTATCCAATAATGGCAACTTATCTCCTCGAGACTGCTTGCTCCTTGTGCTGTCTTTGCTTCCCGCTCTGGAGGATGGGCCAACAGATGGCTCTACTTCGTCAACGTTACCCTTGATACCTTCCCGTCCCCATGAAGAATCGCGTTGTACACTTGTAGAAGTGTTATGCAGGAGACTGTTTTGTTCACGTTCACCTGTAATTGCTGCATCAGTCACTGATGCTTGATCAAGACTAGCCGTAGAAGAGGACCAAGGGTGAGCCCAGGTTTGCGTAAAAGGCAAATTTCGGATACGAGGGTCAGGCTTGGATATTGACCCACTGTTCTGGATGGTCTTTGTGGAGCTTGCAGTGTTGAGAAGGTTCGTGGAGCTTGTTGTACTATTCAAAGCAGAAGTTGAAGCGGTATTGTCTGTAGGAGATCCTCCAGGTACTTCTAGACAAAAATGTTCTGCTACTTGTTTCCTAGCTCCTGCTCGTCCTCTGTCTCGTCTGACGAATCTTGGTGGACTGGTCTCTGTTATGAAGCCAAAATCTATCATCATTCTCACTCTATTCTACTTAAGAAACCTGATAATGATAACAGATTTTGGCTTCATATCTGTTCCTGTGGTCGTTGTACCAGCTACTAGGCTGCGGTAATCGCGTTTCGTCAAGATGTCTCCCAGGGATCGAATTTTGCTATCTATTTTCCTTCTTCGCAAAGAAACATCCTTCTTCTGAAACTCAAATCTTGTCCTAGAAACTGCCAAAGAGCGCTCTTGAGGTCCCGGTCTGTGGACCCAGTCGTCAATGGAAGTGTCGTAAAAAAAGTCCGATTCTTGATCCCCAAAGCGGACTGGACGTAGGGGAGAAGCAAAGGTCGATGACCCGGCTGCCAGTAGGTCCAAACGACTGTCTGGGTTGTTCGGATTCCTCAATTTGCGACGTGCAAAGTTATCCCTACTACTTTGATTCAGGTCTGCCATCGAAGAACTAGCTCCTTTGAAGGGGTTGAGGTTTATGAGACTGCTCTCGAAGTTGCTGGTAGTTGGAAAAGGACCAGAAAAAGGTAAATTGTGATGTCTTGCGGCACCTATAGAAGTCTCTTCTCGTTCTGGCGAACCACTACTAGTCATACCGCCACCACCATTACCCGCATTATCATCATACGTGTTCGCATTTTTAGCATAGTACGAAGCGCTAATAATGGTATTCGCGTTGGTCGAGCAACCACTTGCGCTCGTCGATGGTGGATCCACTGCTACGCTACCGTTTCCAAGACTCTGCGTGTGAGTGATGACAGAATCAGCCCCTATTGACCACCCTGCAGGAGGATGCACTAATGGTTGGATCATACTTCTTGTACTTGTACTACTATGAAGTTGATGTTCATGATGCTGTCCGCGATCTCCACGTCTGCTTCTGTCAAAAGCTGCATCTCCTCCATCTAAAGATCGTTCTCGACTCTGATGTCTTGATTGTTTGCTCTTCGACCTGGATCGACCTGCTGTGTTAGTCCTTGTTGTTTCCGCCATTTTGTGGCCATGATAGTAAACTGGGGGGCTAAGACTATTGTGCACTGCACTGGCATGATGTTGATTCTGATCCTGGTGATTTCCTCCTTCGATGTAGTCTCCAGAACAAGATCCTCCGTGAGTGTGAGTGTCCTCCTTGTTGCCTCCTCTATAATTTTTCCTGCCATGATGTCCTTGTTGATGCTGTTGCTGAGGTGACAAACCAGCATCCAATGAACGTCCTCCTTGAAACGTCTCCAGCTTAGCTCGTCTTCGATTCACGGCACGCCTCACTTTGCCAGCCTTGAAACTGCCGATTTCGGGTAGAGCTAAGTCGGAGAGCCCTGCTATGGGGAGCTCCTGTTGGGGATCCATTTTGTTTCTTCTTGGATTTACTTTTCGGAGAAAATGGAAATGTTGGTACGATAATTCTGTGTCCCTAGTACGAGCATAAGCATATGGACTACAACAATAAAACGACGACCTCTACTTCGACTGTGGAGGAGCTGGAGTCGTTTTATTGTTGTAGGAGCTGGAGTAAGAGGACAGGGAGCAAATCAACTGACCAATTACCATCAAAAAGTCTCACCACACAAACGAACTATTTGTTTAGGATAGGGTAGGAGTTGGCTCACTCAAAACGAAGGAGCAAGCGTTCGGGGTCATTGAGGTGCCCAAAAGATTCTATCATCTATGAGGCAAGGCTGTTTTCATTTAGATATTTGGGTGCTCACTTGGCTTTGGGTTTCAGTGCCAGTGGGGCCCTTTTTGCACTAGCAGGATGAGTGATGTCAAGATCAGGCATGGTAAGTCTTATCCGATAAGCGGTTTTCAACAGAAGGCAATGACAATGACTGGACTTATGACCGAAAATAAATCTGCCTTACAGTACAACACCGAAGACGAGTGACCGCACCAACCGATGCTTTTCTTTGATCACCACATCTAAAATGAGGACTTCCTCAAGTTCCCGACCACAATGAGAAGCCTCTTCGTCATCTGTACCAGGTACAAGTAACAAACCTAAAAATCCATATTCCAGATGGAAATAGAAGATTTTCGTCATTATATCCCAGCTTCTCCTGTCCATTTTCCTTCAAATCTTTGATTCCAGCATCTATATTTCGTTCGGCAATTCATTTCCATAAAATTGATGATGGCCACGTCATTGAGCTGCTGATAATTATAGGGGACGCAAATAAGGTACGAAACGTTAATCAAGCTGGTTCTTCTGTTGTCGATACAAGAAAGATCAGAAATTCAAAAGCAACAAGGGGAAATTATCTCTGGGTGGTCAAAACTGATACTGATCATAAAAAGATGCTGACAAACCAAATAGTCGAACAAGCAGAGGGTAGGGGTACGAGCGGATGAAGATTAAAATCAAGTAAAAGACAATCTAATATATCACGGCGTCTAATCCGCCCATCATGATATCATTAGAACGACCCAGGGGAAATAAAACGAAAACGAAAAACTGAACAAGATACTTAAATGAAAATAAGCACAAGTGTCCAAGCCTTTGCGCGAAGCGTGATTTAATACTCTTAAGTCCTAGTCCTGTAGTGGATCATTGTATATACTAAAAGCTACTTCTCGTTCTCTATATTCAAGTAAAAGTTGACGTTCTCGTAAGTACTGACCGATACGTAGTTCAATTACAATTACAGTTTAGTTCTCTTCATTTTTTTGTATCGTGAGCGTATGGCGTATGCTGAGAGAGCAGAGCTGCAGATTTTCCAGGGAGCGACCCGGCGACGGCGGGAGTGCATTAACCTCCTATACTACACGCTACGAGTTGTCCTTTGCCATGACTTCTTCGCAAACACGTACCGAGTGCCAACATCCCATCCTCCCTGTTCTTCGACCTCCCAATCACAAGTAATACAGCACCTCTTGACGACGGGATCTCGTGGTTGTTTCCTATTGGGATCTGCGACGTGCACTCGATTGCCGCCTTGGTCAGTCCGTCCTCTTCCTTTCGACCACTCGTTGCTGTTGCTTTCTTCGCAGGGACGACTTAGCTGCCCTTCCCGTGCTTTCTGTGCAAAGTGACCGCTCCCATTTTTGGTGCATGAAGAATGTAATGGGACCCACGAATATTTATTGAAAATTGCTTATTGTTGGCAGAAAAAAATGAGGCGGTTTCCGCCAGTTTTCGTACGACTTTCCAATTTTTCCGAACTTTCTCCTGCAACTCTGTGATCACTTTTTGCGCCGCTTCTTGGTACTCAACAGCTTTTTTCAGTGGGGTATTTTCTGTTTTCTGACGCGGCAGTGGAGAACTTGAAGCTTGTCCAGTCGTGCTACCTTGTTCTCTTTTTGCCTTTCTCAAAAAATTTTTCTTTTCGTCGTCGTGGTGCTCGGCTGTTCGAGGAGGTTCGTTTGCTTGAGCTCTCCACTTCAAGAGATAGGCGTCGAGCACTTCTTGAGGAGAGAGGTTTCCTTTTTCCAATAGTTCTTCACCTTTAGCATGATTTGGATCGAATATTTCTTGATGAAAAGTTGCCTCTACTTTTCGATTTGTTGCGGGTCCGGCTTGTAGTTGATGCACTTGAAGATGTTCATCTTCTTGCTCCTCGATGATGAATTTTCTATGCTCGTCCCCCTCCGTTTCTTTAATAGCAAGCAAGTCAGCTGCAGCTCTTTCGTATTCCTTCAGGTCTGTGAGTGCAGCTAACCCGAGCTCTTCCCCGATCTTTTGGCGCATGTAATTACGATGCTCTTCTGGGGATGAAAAGGGATAAAACCACTCAGATGTTGAGCTTGAGTCTTCTTCAGCATCAGCGGAAGACGAAGTTGCTTTTAGCAACAGCAGTTCTTGAATCCGTTCCTCCCAGGGATCCGCACTAGCGGGTAAGCCTAGAGGAAAAACCAACTCTCCCGCATTTCTACCCAGAACGCCTAGCAATTTGCCAGGATAGATCCGCTCCGCTTGATCTTGCGCCAGAACATCTTCATCTCGGGCGGAAAGAAGTTGAAGTCTTCTACTTAGTGTTTCGTAAGAAGGTTCCTCCAGAGTAGAGGACCACTTCTTGATCATGTCTTCAGTCCTGGTGCTAGTCGTGGGCACAACTCCTAGTGAACTAGGCTCTTCATCTTTGCCAATCTCGGCGTTAGTCATGAATACTTTTTCTCCACCAGCTGCAGATCCTGCCTCCTGTAGTTCAACATCTTCGAGTAGTTGTTCACGAGTTCTTGGCTTCTCATCTCTTCCTAGAAAAGGAATTTTCATACTGGTCTTCGACGTCTTGATCCCGGCAAAAAATTCTTCTTCTTTCTTCAGATCCCTCACTCCTTCGATAGACGACATCTGCTGGTCTACCATTCTCTTCATTAGAACTTCTAAGAGAGTTCCATCTATTCAGCACCATCTTGGGCCCCTGTTGAAAAACGGGAGGACCAAGATAGATGCCTGTGGAGATGGATTCCTTGTTGTCGTCTTAACTTCAGAACCGGCATCATGGGATGATCGTGGCCCAGTACGAAGACCTCTTTGGCCGCTGCGTCGTGATTACTGATTTGCTGCCATTCCGAAAAGCCGTTGCGCACGATAGCCACCGCGATGAAGACAGGCTCTGGCCGGGTTAATAAGAGAGCCTCACTCACTGAAAGAGGCTCAGCAGGTCCTCGTTGTTCATCTGCTGGTGTTCCTGGTTGTGCTTCTGCAGGACCTCCCGAAGAGCCAGAAGGCTCCTGGCTAGAAGTGCCATAGAGCCACGACGGCAAGAACCGAGAAGGCCGCCACCAGGTAGAATTGTTCACATACGAGATGCCAGAGCGAAGCCAGGCCTTTGATAGTTCTGCAACACGATTTTCACGGAGTAGCTCTGCGCCATTTGCGGCATCCCACGCGCTTTTGTAATTACCCCACCAAGGTTGCGCTTTTAGTGCGTTCTCGATCTTCTGCTCTTCCTCTTCCTCCGCAGCAGTTGGGATTGCACTGTGGAAGCGCTTTTGGAAAAGAACTCTCATGAAAGCTCGCACGGCGCTTTTCCGATTTAGCACGTGTCTGAGACGTTGCGCATGATCTGCCCCAAGCTTCTCATCAGAAGCGTCATACAAGAGCTCCCTACTTAGAGTTGTGGGAGTGGGAGTTGTGTGAGTTGTGGGACGTCGAGACTTTGATTTTCGTTTTGGAACCTTCTACTACTTCCATCTTGAAGATTTTCTTGAAAGAAAGTCATGTTGTCCTTTTGAGATGTATTTATTATTAGAGATCCTACTTTTATTTTTATTCCCTTCTGAAGTTCAAGTTCTTTGAAGAGAGTCCGAGTGAGTCGAGGCTAATAAAAATAAAGGATACAACAACTTCGGAAAGAAACTGAAGATGGATTTGTGTCCCAAGAAGAATTTACTATTCACCACCGTCTTTTTCCTTAAATTCAAGGTCGTTACTGGTCCGCCCGTCAAGTCGTTGAGCATGGACTGCATAAGGCTTCTCGGAGAAAATAGGTGGACTGACAAAGCTTTCTCTGACATCACGCGCGCCGTGGTCGTGATCGACTCCCTCTGAGATTCCGGATGGTCCAGTGTTAAGTTCATCAAAAACTGCTGATACGAAAGTCCGTCGCGGCCATGTTCTGCAGTTCCTCCAGCTGTTCTGCATTTTGAACCTCCAGAAGAAGATGGCGCTGCCCATATCAAAGGTGAGAGTTGGAATTTTACTCTGTCAGCGCCAGACACCGCATCGGCAACACTGAATGCAGCTACAGGCGTCAGCATAACCCCAGGATGAGGGGCTGGAGCAGCAACTTTTAAAAAGACACTGGGCACCACCCAAACTGCATAGAAGGGCCCTCCTTTAGGAGACAGGTCGAGTAGACGGGGCACAAGGCGATGCTGTTGTTCTTGAGTAGAAGACCCTGTAGTTGACAGCGCCATGGAAAAGGATGGTCTTGCTCTTGGGGCCATGTCTTTTAGAATTTCTTCCTCGTTCAAGCGGTATAGCAATTCTTGCATAGCCTGCAACGTCGAGTCGAAGAAACTGTCTGCTGCTTCTTTTTTCTTTTCGGTCAATGAGGGGGCTTCTTGTGTTAGAGCTCAAAGCAATTCACTTCTTCCCACCATTTCTTCAGAATCCCAAGAAAGAAATAGCAAGAAATGGCTGCTTGATGTACCAATGAATTGCATTGAGCCTTAATTTTTCTTTCTTTCCATCATCTTCTTTGCTAGGTTCTCGTAGGGGTACGGCAAGGCCATCTTCATCTTGCCGATAAAGTCCAGTGCCGCACTTGTCCGCCTTTTTCTCTAGTACAGCACCAGACCTGAACACTTCCTCCAGTCCACGATATACGCTGTCAACCATGTTAAATAGAACTAGTCTATCCAGTTCTCCTTGTGGCAGTCCCTCACCTACATCCTCTTCTTGTTCTTGTTCCTCTTCTTGTTCTTGTTCCTCTTCTCCCGGTTGGACTTGGAGATCCTCTGGGCGTGCCTCCTCCTGTTGCCCGGCAAGTCGACGCTTCCTCCGAAGTTGAGCACCAGAAGTTTTCCCTCTCTTTTTCTTAGTCTGAGCATTAATATTGAAAACGCGCGACAAAAACTGTGCGAAAGCATTCCACTTCGCATTTTCTTTTCGGCACATGCTTTCAAATTCTGGCAGCAACTTTTCTCTTTCGGCTTTCAGTTCCGTCTTCTTCTGCTTACGTAACCCCTCTTGTGCGATCTCTGCCTCGATATTAAGGAGTCTGCGCTGCATTTTGAGGCAGATAGTATCGAAACCCTCCTGCTTGGTCTGCTTTGGGTCCTCTGTCTCATCTGAGTCCTTTGTCTCCGTTTTCCTTTTCACCTTCTGAGCAGTCTCTGCCTTTTCGTTGTCCCATACGTAATTCTTCAGCCAGATTTCGTAAATCGCATAGTGTTTTTTATGCCCGTCTGCGATTTGCTTTCCTAAGTTGATGTGAGAACCCAAATACTCAGGCGTGCGCGTGCGCGTGGGAGCAGCAAGAAAACGCGGAAGAAGTCCTGCTTCTTGAAGTCCTTGTTGAAGTCCTCCTACTTGTTGAAGTCCGTGTTGTTGATACCTTTCTAGTTTCTCCTCGACTCTTAGGCGTTCCTGCTGATCAAAAGATTCGCTGCGCACGTCTCCTGTAGAAGCTAACTTGTCAAAGCCAACTTGTTCTGCGTACAAGTTGGCCATCTGAAAAAACGGCCACGCAGTTTCATCCAAAAACTTCATCCACTTCTTCTGACCTTGATCACCCGTTTTGGACCAGTTGCTCATTGCCTCAGCCTCTTCTGTCCCAAGGCCGTACAACTTCCTTACAGCAGCTGCTTTGATAGGAGTAGTAGTTGCTCCTGTATCTTTTGGACTACGATGATCTTCTTTGGACGATGCGAGTGGACCACCTTTTTCGGGCCTGAGGGAATCCGGAGCGGCGCCAAGAGCAAGAAGAAAGATCCTCTGATGATAATCATCACGCTCAGAAGTAGCAGAGAAAACTTGTTCTGCCAAGTGGATCGCAGCAAAGCTGCGCCACGCAGAAGAGAAGCACGACCTTCTCCTTTTTTGTAATGGCATTATTTCTAATACGCAGTTCAGTTCAGCTTCAGAAGTAGAGGTCGTAGACGTCAAATAAGAAAACCAAAAGATATTACTTAACCAAACGTTCTTAGAAGATTAAGGTTTATAGGAGAAGATGCTGGTGATGAATGTGTACTATTTCGAAGAACTCGAAAACGTTGTTGTATTTGGATTAGGATTTGGTTCTTTGTTAATAGAACTTGGAATGTTTCCATATGCGGTAAGGGTAAAAAGTGTGGGAACTTCTGTTAGTTTAGTTGTAGTCGTTCAGCTGATCGAAATTATCGATGATATAATCTACTTTTAGGTCAGGAACAAAGAAATTTGTTTTCGCGTGATAATTCTATCCAAAAATAATCAAGACAGGTCGCTCCATAAACTTGCCGATTCAAGTTTCGGTCCTGACTGTGACGTGCGTTGAAAAAGGGGTGTTGAAATGAAAGATAGGCCATGAAGATCCAGTTCCCCTGTTCTGCAAATGGCTATCGGGACTTACGATAGTAGTAACAATAGCGTTAGCGATAGTGATCATAACGAGATAGGATAGTGATGAGGATCTCAAAAGAGGGAGCATAGGGATCAGGATCGATCTTGTTGAGGGATCTTGTTGAGGGATCTTGTTGAGGGATCTTGTTGAGGAATCTTGTTGAGGGATCTTGTTGAGGGATCTTGTTGAGGGATCTTGATGGGGGCGAAGGAATGCGAAAGGGATCTTCATGAAGTGTATTTGTGAAAAAATCTCCATCTTTTCACGCATGAGGTGAATTATTTCCATCAGGACTAAGGCTAAGAGTCCACCTGTAGCGTAGGCCACTGCGGCATCGCGTCGAGTGAGAGATAGAACATGCAAAATTTGACAAATGGACGCCGGTAGAGCCTCTTCGTTTCTACGAGTTGCGCTAGTTAGTTTCATGTGACTGACGCTGGTCATCGGCGACAAAATGGGTATGGAGGGAGACGACCCATGCCCATGCCGAAAGAAGATAGTAATATTTTCTATATTTTATAAAATATTATAGAAAGCCAATGGTGTATCTTCCCGGACGAAAGTCTAATTTTGATTGACATTGATTCAACATTGACTACTAGTGATTACTTGCAAACACAAGAAGCTACATCATCAACAACTCGAAACTGCTTATAACCGGCAGGTAGCACGACTATTTCGTGTCCAATCTGTAAAAGGTCTCGCCCAGACCTCGGGAGATTTACTTTTCCGAGTTCCTTTATGAAATCCCACACCTTCCGGATGTTCTCTATCGTTACTTCGACAGGATAATTTAACTTTTCTTCTACAATCGCCCGCCGCAGAATCTTTCCGTTCTCCACCATTTTTGTTCTCCTTTCCCCATCAACTTGAGCGGGTTCTTCATTTTTATTTTTTCCTTCCACCGATCCACAACGAGGAGGACCCAGCCACTCATAGAGGGAGAATACGAATATATAGCTGTTGACGAGAAGGAGGAGACCATCATGCACCACGATAACGAAACTATGTCCGAAGACGCTGCCTCTCAGAAGGAGAAAGTGCCCCTCTGTGGATCCCGGACTTGTATCCTTGGTGGACCATGGCTGCAGCAAGACGGCTGCGAAATCTTCGAAGCATGGCGCCTCGACTTGTGGACCACGGGGAGCTGCAGGATCATCTACTTTAGTATTTCTGGGTGCAGCTCGAGCTCCTCCCAGAGTAGATGAAGAGATTCGGCCACTGCACAGATTGTTCATCTTCGTGAGAAATCCGTCGCGCACCGCAGAATACCGATCCCGGAGTCCGCGACAGTTTCTCGTTCTAGCCCAGGTCATTATTCGACGAGAGGTGGTAAAACTGAAAGAGTCACGCTGTGCTTCTGCTCCAAGAGCTCCGCCGAGTTCCGCAAGCAGCTCTCGCAGATAAATTAAGGAACTTTCAGTTTGATCATCACCGTCGACGTTGTTGTAGTCCTCTCCGCGAGCCAGAGCCTCATCTGTTGACGTACTATGACCGCCACTTCCAGTTCCATCTTCCATACCTTGTCCTTGACCTTCTCCTTGTCCTCCTTCGTTGATGTTCTTGCTGTTCGTCTTCGTCTTCCACTTCCTTTCTAACATCGTTTTATCTAATGAAAATGATGTTTTTGGGACGACCTCTATGCGTTCTTGAGAGCGAGACCACGGCAGCTGGACGTCGCGGTAGGAGGAGGCTTCGTAATCGATCCCCGCAGCTCCAAATGCCGCTTTCCACAGACCCGTATCTCGCTCTAGAGTAACAAAGAATTCCCACACTTTTCGCACATTTTCCCGAGTGAGATCCATGATCATGGGCAGCACACTCGACGAGGGCCACACTTTTGCGGTGGTGGTAGACCTAGAAGTAGTGCTTCTGCTCAGGCTCAGCGTCGACGCTGAAGTTGCCAAAATATGAGACCACGACCACCGCTCAACAGTAGAGGGCCTCTTATTTGATAATCTCCCAAGAAGCTCTGCATCATCCGAGACCTGCTCAGTAGTCTCTGGCGCGGAAGTGCAGGTGATTACCGCGACGGATCCTTTGTAGAGCACTACGACGAAAAAGTGGCCTGCGATTACGTACTCCATGAAGATCTCTCTCTCGAAGTGTGGATGCCGTGGATCCAGCAGCGAGTCTGCAAACGTATCGAAACCCGTAAACTTCGGCGGACGAGGAAAGTCGTTCTGCAACGCAGTTTTTTCCGAATGAAGGGCTATTTCGCCCTGGTGCGCATGATGATGATCTTCTTTTATTTGGAGCACGATATATTTTTTTCTGCTTGAAGATGGCAAGATCTCCGTCTTTCTGCTTCTTGCGGCCGTGATCCCGATCTCCTCTTTCATCTCCTGGTATAAATTATACACAAGTTGTAGTGGCGAGGATGTAGTTGATGTTGATGACAATGACACGAGACGTTGAAGACGCGAGGGCGTGGAAGAAGCGGCTAGAAGCTTCTCCGCTGCTATGAAAACGCCATTTGCGGCAATACCACAGAAATTACTGTCGCCACCTCCTGCCAGCTCCAGCTCTCGCACAACATCCTCGCGAGCCAGATCGTTGAGGCGTTCATAGGCACCGGCGCTGATAGTGGACTGGAGATCGGGCTCCTCCACATCAACTAGTTGTAGTACTCCTACCTCTCCATTGTCCTTGGCCATTTCGTCTTTGGCCAACTTCATGTCTCGTTCTAGTTCTTCCTCCACTCGTGATTGGGATTGCTCCAGCCGCGGCAGTGCCGAGACTTCCTGCGGTACTCGCGCTGGTGTTTGGAAACTACGCAGATTGACACCAACTACACCGGTAACGCCGTCCATCATCCTCGTCATCATCAGAGTCGCTCCTGCACCAGTCGCCCAAACTTTGAAGCACACTGGCACCATCATCTTCTTTTTCCTCGTGTTAATATCTTCTGTACTCGATAACGATGCGACCCTTGCTGATTCATACAACAGCGTATTTATCGGGAACAGCATACTTTTAACTTCATACTTCCGTGTGCTGTGTGCTCTGCACTTGAAAAGCTCTTCCTTAGTGGTGTTGTGGAACTGCAAGCGTCGATAAAATGCGAAGGGACTTCTAGGTTGCAAATATAAGTATGGAAAAGAGCGCTACTTAGCGATAATGAGCGTCAAAGTTAATCAAAATCAATGAGAAGCGTGCACCCTTGTCTTGTCTGCAGATGAACACACACTATTTCGCTGGGCCTGCTTTCTTCTCAAACAAGCAGCGGGCGCTTCGTCTACTCCTGCACCCTAACATGAAAAGGCTTAGGAAAACACACGATAGAAGGCTTTCCATCTCTTTGCTGTTCATGATCATGTTTGGTAGTAGGATTTTCGGAGAAGATGAGCCACATGCTTTTGTCGCGTAGCAACAACAAGTATGCAAATGCGTCGTGTGTGGAAGTATACAGACTTAAGGTATAGATAAGAATAAAAATGACTGCGGTTATTTTTATCATCAGCAGGCTAATGAATCGGTTGGACGGACTTGCAGCAGGATCAGAAGTTCGTATTTTTGGATCTACTTCATCAGCACACTCCTTCGCAAGTAGATGCACGCAGAAGAAGATATTTTGAGTAGATGCAAACAACCAGATAGACAGCAGCAGCAGGCAACGCAGGACGATCTTCTTCACATAATCACTTCATTTGGGTCTTCACCCATAGTCACGAAAAAATCTAAAACATATCAGTGAGGAAAATCAATCAAGGGAACAGTTGCGCCGGTGCCAAACTAAGACTGGCTGACTGATTGACTGACTGATTGATGTACCAACTCCACTCGCGGGGTGTGACATCTCTAATTAGTTGCAAGTAGACTGTCCTATATTTCTTCTGTCCTTTGTTGCATCTGTTTTCGTGTCTCCTCATTATGTCAGCCCCTTTTTGATCTCTGCATCAGCGTCGTTATCTTCTCAACAAATTCTAGCTTCCACTTTTTGCATTTCAGGCATGCGTTTTTTCCTCGTTTCGCCACTGCTCCTCATCTACCCAGATCTCGTGACATAGAAGAAGAAATAAATACCAACAAAGAGCGAAGTCCTCACTCGTGTTCATGAGAACATCCGCTGCCACTTCTGAGAAAGAGGAAGAGTGATTGTCTAAGTACTAAGCAGCTTCGGCCTACTCAAGTACTATCTATCAAAGCATTGGGAACAAACATCCTCGCCGCTTTTTTCCATCTCTTCTAGCAAGCTAGCCACGACTTCTTGCCAGCCTGTGCTTCAGACTTCTTACTTCACTATCCAGGAGCGGTCTACAAACATACAACAAGTTCTTGGAAATTTTTCGGCTTGTTGAGGATGTTCAGGGTACAAAGTCAGTCGTATGTCTCAGTTGCTCCACGAGCGCCAGCAGATGCGGTCTAAGACTACGTGCACTCATGCCGGTGGCATAAGGACGCGAAGTGGCTCCAGCGAAAGCCGTTCTTCATGTTCATTGTCTTCGAGTGACCACTTATCATTGCGACTTCGTGGATTTCTTCAAAAGCGACTCCGTAGCTCTAACTTCGTCTTGTTCATCTTGTGTTGACCAACGCAATGCTACGGCTCCGCCAGTCGTGAAGCTACACACTCACTTGTTCGCGTTCCTTCTACTTACAAGAACCCTACTTCCTCCATCCTGCCCGGGTTGCTCAAGCAATCCCGCCGACTGTGACACGCTACGCGGATCGTAAGCAGACGCAAAATATTGCTCGGCCCCGGGCACTGACTCGCCTGTATTCTGGCTCCTGGCCTCCTTCGCTAGTTTGTCCCAAACCATCTCGACAGGCCGCTTCATCCACCGGTAAGCTTGCGCAAGAAAACTTTCAAGAGCTGCACCTTCTGGAGCTTGTTCTTGCGAGGGCGCGACCCTCGGCGAAGGAGGTTGGGCTTCTTGCTTCGTAGCTCCTTGCTCTCCTTCTACAGTCCGTTTTTCTCCTTCTGGTATACTTGTAGCAGTAGCACATGCCCCCAAGGTCTGAGCTGGCGTCGAATACGAAGCCTCCTCGTTTTTCTGCTTTAACGTTTCTTTTAGCGTCGCTTTCCATGGGCCGCTCTTCACGTACAGCAGGCCAAAAAGGGCCACTCGAAGGGCCACATTATTTCCGGTTGCCTCCGCTAGTCGCGTCCTGCAAAACTCTTCGCATCTTGTATTGACTTCCTTGTCGACATCGATACCAGCAGGCAAATTCGGAGGCGCAATCTCTTTCATAACCGCACTCCAGGCTGCCGTCAGGTCGCCAATCGAATCTGGAAGCATTATTCGCGCCTTCTCTCCCGCTTCCTTCTCCGCCTTGTCCAGTTTTTCGATCTGCTGATCAGCTCGTGCTCTAGCGAATTTCGTGATTGGCTTGAACACGTTTGCCTCGAGAAACTCGCCCAGGTCGAGTGGGGACTTGCTTCGTTGTTCCAGCAGCGTTTTTTTGTCATTCACTCCCCAGAGCAAGAGAAACAATTGCTGCTCCTTCGTGGCTTCGTTGCCTGACGCCTCCGCCTTCGGCACCTCCGAGACAAACGAGGCTTCTTCAGTCGCAAGCGCTAGCGCAGCTCCCACGCCGCCCCCTTCATCCCCATCCAGCGAAGTACGACTCCACTGCAAAGGTACGCCACTGGACGCCATGCAACCACGGCAATGGTACCCAAAAACCATTACGATCGAAAGCCAGTCTTTAGCCTGCTTCATCTTGCGTAAGGTGTTGATAAGTACAACTAAAAAAACGAGTAATTCTTGACTGAGCTTGATTTTAGATCGAAATCAATAATTTCAATGATCGAAATTGGTATCTATTGGAGTGCTTCTATACGAGCAGGTTGAGGTAAGGGTAAAAAAAGTGTAAGAGCTATTAGTTTAGTAGTAGTTCAGCTGATCGAACAACAAATTATCGATGATATAATCTATTTTTAGTTTTAAAACAAAGAAATTTGCTTTCGCGTTATAATTCTATCCAAAAATAAAAATAAGCTCCATAAACTTGCCGTTTCAAGTTTCGGTCCTGACTGTGAGGTGCGTTGAAAAAGGGGTGTTGAAATGAAAGATAGGCTACCTATAGAGGCCTCAAGATACTACAGCAATAGCGTTAGCGATAGTGATCTTGACAAGATAGGAGATGAGGATCTCAAGTCAATAGAGGTAGCATAGGGATCTTCTCAAGTGCAATCGGATCTATACGGATCTCGTAAAAAGTAGGATAGCGATCTCAAAAGAGGGTCTCAAGTTGAAGGATATTGGTGGAGGATCTTGTTCTTGGGGGATCTTGATGACGGAGTCGCGCAAGTATAGACAAACGAACGCCGTACCTAGTACGTTATTACCTAGCTAAGAGAGGCAAGCCCGGGGCTTAGTTAGTGTGGTGATTGATTCAAGTAAGTGACTCATTAGGCCTCTGCGAAGCATTTCATTGTATGGAGCTTTGTGGTGATTCAGGCGCGTGCCAATTTAGTTAATGCATGTCCCTCGTCAGCACCTCCATGGTGTTCCGTGTTTGTTGCTCGTTCTCACTCGTTAGCGAACAGAGTATAAGGGACAGAAGTGCCTTACTATACTTGCACAGTCATACACGACTTCATGAGCAGAACGAACTATTTCCATAAGGGAGATAAGATAGCAGGAATTGAGTCCATCCACAGTCCGTATGTGAAGCAGCCTTATTTTTTCCCACCACCCCATCGCCACTTGCCAGAGTTGTATGATCTTGCGATCAATGGTCGGCAGGTGTGGAAAACATGTTTTTATTCCGACGTCCGTGACCGCGCAGAAAGCTGCGGCAGCGTAGCTTGGAAAATCTTGGTAGTACATTGAATGCATGCAACAATGTCGCAGTCGCTCGCTCGTCCACCTCTGTCGAAACAGAAAACGAATCCTCAAACATGATCATGAAATTACTATGCATACATCAAAAGTTGTCGACTCCATGATTTTATCGATTAGGACTACAACTACACTAAACTAGTACTTGCATCACTTGCACTAGTCTTTTCTCACTAGGTACTACGCTGCACCAACCGTGGTCTATACACAGAGAAACCTGCTATCTTCTTGCTCATCTTCTTACAAAAAATACAGTTCTGTTCAGGTGCATCACTTTCGATTATCCTGGCGTCCTCTTTCGATTATAGTTATACAACTGGAGGACGAGTCTATCGATTATACTGGCGAAGTTTTTTGTTGCATGCATAAGACGTAGGAGATTCTGGTACTACCACCTCAAAGAACCTTAACTTTGCTGCTAGAAGAAGCTTCCATTTCTGATTCTGTACTACACCTACAGCTACATCAAATAAGTGTCACGACATGTCTTCTAGTCACTTCTACAATTAACTTCTCCTACTTCTTGCAGATCACTGGTCAGGAACAGGGTTTGCATCGGGTTCAGGTTGGAACATTGGATTTGGATCACCTTTCCCAACGAGTCTCCCATGACCTCCCTTTTGTACTAGTCCTCCACCCAAGAATGGCGGCGGCCGTCCAGGAGACTTGCCGAACTGTGCTCGTCCTTTCGGTGGTCCTCGCTGATAGACTTGTGATTGTGATGGAGATCCTGGTCCTGGTCCTCCTTGTTGTGATGGAGATCCTGGCCCTGGTCCTCCTTTTTCCTGTGGCGAGGTACTTTTCATTCCCTTGGTCAACATAAGATGAAGGTTGTTGTAGTTGTAGCCGTGTTTGCCGACCGCACCCTTCTTCTTGCTAGAAGTACCTCCAAAGTGACTGGTCTTAGCATGTTTCCCTTTCATCGGCATTTTTGGAAACCGATGACCAGGAGGTGGAATAGAGGATGGTGCTGAACCGCCGTAAACGCCACCTCCAACACCACCTCCAGGTGAACTGAAGGCATACGAGGACTGCAGCTGGTAGCTAGTACTATTAGCAGTAGTTATTTGTTGCTGATAATCGCCTGCTTCTGTGTAATTGTGTTGTTGATCATGCTGTCGTTCATCATAATCTTGAGGAAGTGGTACTTCTATAATCTGCTGTTGTTGATCCTGTTGCTCGGAGGACCAAGAAATTGGTGGGCGAGCGATGTTCGCTAGCTGCGGAGGTGGCGCGCCGACTTCTTGTATTGTTGCTAGGATGCTGGGACTAGGGTGATGCTGAGGAAGTTCGCTGGTGGCGGTTGTTCGTCGACTATCTATTCCCACACTTGTAGGCAGTTGCTTGACGTGAGAAGATATTCTTGTCACAGCAAAAGGACCTCCTCCAAGCTGTAGACCTGAATTTTCTCCAGCTGCACCTCCAGGTCCAACAGTTGTGCCTCCATCTGCGCCGCCACCACTTATTGAATTCCTTTTTTCTAAATTCTGCACTTGTCCCTGAGTTGTAGTTGTAATAGTAGCTGCTTGCTGAGCGAGTTGCATTTGCAGCAGAGCGCTTTTTAAAGCTTAGCACTCAATGGCCACTGATGCTGAACGGAGGAGACCCCCCTCAAGGCTCTCCCCTTTCCCTTGCTTTTCCCCTGTTCTACTCTCAAGGGGAGGTCGCTTCTTCGATCTCAGTGACTCCAATCTAAATGGTGACCATTGAAAGCTGAGCCTTAAGTTTTGTTGTTGCATTTCCTGCATTTTTAGGAAGAAACTGCTTACATCTCCTCCACCAGAAGCAGAGGGGGCAAACCCACTAGAACCTGATTCTTTCGTTTTCTCGTTTCCTCTTCTGCCCGCCCCGAAAAGCCGTCCTAGCACCCCACTCCATCTACCTGTTACGAGCCCGTATCCGATAACCGCGAACAGGAGGCAGACTAAAAGAGCAAGCAAAAAGTTCCACCAACAAGTTCCAAAGTAGGTCAGATGACATCCAAACTCGAAAAATTAGCGGTAGTTTTTCACTATCCCGACTCGAGTGGGTTGCCCTCTTTGCCCTTCAGTTTCCCCTCCAAAGCCAGAAGGAGCCCACTCAGCATAGTCCACATGGGATAATGAAAAACTACCCTTAAAAAAAGCCGCACACGTCAGAGCAGGAGGCGTCGGCGTAGGTTTTTGCGTCCATGTACTCAGCGTTGACGTCGCCACGCCGTTGCCCAAGGGAAGACTTCTCGATAGTGCGCAAGACTGTAAAGGAAGCTACTTTGGTGTCGAGGGTTAGAGTTGTAAAACAGGATGTTTGAGAAAGAAGAGACGAAATTACTACAACTACGCAAAATTGAGTGAAAGCGATCAAGATATCTAGTATCCGAAAGTGAGCAGGCGGAATTCAGGGCGCAATCAGTTATAAAGTCTTACCTCCTGGTGCATACTCTTCTTCTACTAACTACTTCCTTGTGCTTATCCTTGTGCGTTCCGCCATAACAACAACCTAGCTTTTTTGTCCAGCAAGTTCAGCGTACATTCGCCTTCGAGTTGGTCCTTTGAGTTGGCCATGACCTGGATTTCCACTTCGCGAGCAGCCTCTAGAGGCTGGAGGAATAGAGATGGCACAGGCGCAGGAGTTACGCCTTGGGAGCATTGGATTCCGAGTGAAAATTGAGCAGCGAAATCTGATTCAGACTTTAACACAGCTTTCAGGACCCCCGCTCCGGAAAAGGCCTGTTGTATGGGGATGATTCGTAGGATGTATTAGTTTGTGTGTTGAATGAATTAGAATTACTTAGTAGTTTGAGTGCTGTTGAACAATGAATTAGTTTCTCAATCTCCGACATCGTGCTCATTCAATATGTTTTGAACAGCTCTTGTACTAGAACCACTTGGACATGCCATCTTCATTTTTAAAAAAAGAGTAAGTAAAAAGCACTCATTATCTTCAGAGGTACCTCGAAATCTTCCACCTCCACAGTCACTATCACGGCCTTCCCTATGTTCGAGACGAATCGCAGATCATCGGCTTTCAGCTCCAGCCTGACCATCGTTGTTTGCCTGGTTTCGTCCATAGGACATACAAAAAACTCATCCGTAATATAACCATTCAAATCGACGATTTGCGTTCCCTCAAGTAAGCCATCGCAAAACCGAGAGACGAAGTAAAGAGGGTTCCCTTCGCGCAAAGTGTCTTCTTGATGAAAGTTTTCGATTTGATTGCGAACGCAGTCGCCGACGGTCCTAGAGAACGAAGGAGACAAGTAAGTACTACGAATGATTGGACTTGGAGGTCTTTCTTCATCTGGACGAGTTGCAGATAAAAAATATCCATACCAATTTTGTAGCGGGCATGCAAAAAGTACCTTTCGCATCCGTGTGGTTGGTACTTGAAAGCCGTCCATCCCACACCAATCTTATCGCATGTATCTCCACTCAAGTCGAAGAAGCTCTTGTCCAGAAGCATCGCGTATTTCAAGTGATGTGGATATCGTAAGATTCGATCGTGCACAACGAGCTTGCCATTAGCATCATAGTACCGATCTGGTACCACCAGGTACTGTTGTTGAAACGAGTTCGGCGGTGTGGCCTGAGCGAGATCACCTGGTGTGTGATGTGTTTGCTTGATCACGGATGCGGGTGTGGAAGGGGTGGATTCAATTTCTGATCTTGATACTCCTCGAGTGAGTGTCAGTCGTGCAGCGACAAAAAGAAACAAGACAAAGTTGTTATAAAACCTGTAAGTTCCGCCATGACGTAGCTATTGCTCGCGACTGGAGCCGTGTGGCTGATGGTGAGATTGTGAAACCGGTTTTCATGCTTGACTTGTACTTGGATTTCATACAACATTATTGGCGTTTCGACCTCGAACGCGGCATACCTGATGATGTAGTTGGACTTGGAAATCGAGTTTTTTGTAATAATGATGAATAAGACACTGCAAGAGCAGCTATCAGCGAAGACTACAAGCAACTAAGTACACTCTTCATCAACGTGTCAGCCTTTGGAATGCGATAATAATAGTGATCAAGAAAATCAGTACGACTACAGCAACTTCTACTCATCGATCATGTAGATCACGACCACTAAGAAGTACCACAACCGGTCCGGTTTGATACAATGGTAGCTCCGGCTCAAAGTTTCGATGATGTCGCCGCAATCTATGCTTCCACGGTTTCTCGTACCTTCGATTAACGCTCCAGGCGAGCACATGCAACAGAAGCCTTCGTTTGATTAGAAGGGAACGAAAACTCAAATGGCGACTAAATTTGCTGTCTATAACGAGGCGGTATGGAGATGGAGGGGTCTACGCCTTGCTGTCCAGAGTCATCAACTACACTGTAAAATAAACTGAACTCGCCGCGGCTCGTCCTCGTCTTACACCATCGCTCTTCCATGCATAACTATACTTCATGTAGTTGCCCATTGCATCCCGGCAGATCCCACACGTTGCTCCTGCGCCGCCCACGTCGTCTGTACAAGACGCTGATGTTCCGATTTTTAGAAGAGGAAGGGACCATCATTATATAAGAAGTAATATCATGAAACTACAAGGTAAGTAGTTGAATGGATATTCCAAATACGATCTGTAGTAAGGAACCAAGAAAACGACCCGTTCTACTCCTTCATATCACATTATGACATAAGAAGTGTTCTTGCATTTTCGCCGGTATCTGCTCCATGTAGCGAAGGGGGTACTTCCATCGTGACCGAGTTTTGGACCACGTTATCTTCAACGGTTCTGCCAACTTTTTCTCTTCGTTTTCGACTGACACTTCTATAGCTTCAGCGTCAGAGAGCTGCGCCTGCTCGATTGAAAGCAGCAGGGTCACCTTGGTTTAGAACACTTTTAAGCGTTATTCAAACTATTATTGCATTCCTGCTATCAGTTCTTATGGGCAACTTCGAATACACCGAGAAACAGAGAGACCTTTCTTCATTTCTAAAGTCGTGCCCATAATTCTCAGCACAGTCTAACTCTGGTTTGCCTGCTTCGCCAGAGGAGGACGAGCCGCCGCCACTCCGCTCACACATTTCGAGCTTGCTCTGTGCCAAGGGTTAGAGTGGAAAAACATCACGACTGTTTGGCGTACTTAGACTATTATAGTAAAGTTGTTGTAAACCCTAGTTGTTCGTGATCACTTAGACATAAATAACGTCACTCTATCATGATCTTCTCGTTCACGCGACTTCTCTGAGGGGGAATAAACTTTTCAAGCAGGTCTGGAGTCTTAAAAGAGTGAGGCATCCGAGCCAAGCAGCCGCGAGGCGAGGAAGAGAAAGACCAAGTATGCATCTCTTGTGCGTTGTCGTGGGACCATCCTGACCTCGTAGTTCCACCAGCACTTGGCTCTCAACATTGTTTTTGGTACTTAAGAGCTACGTCGAGTAAGTACAACTAAAGCAACATAGACAACATGCTCGTCATCATCCCCGGCAAGAACCACGTCTTCATCGTATGATAGCCACATTCATTGCAAGCGTGGTTGCACAACTCTCTCCTTGTTCCCTAGACGCTCAACTCTGATTCTTGTTCCCTAGACGCTCACGTAGTTCACCGTCTCGTCGGTTTCTTTATCAGGAGGCCATTCGAAACGACATGAAGAACATGATCCAGGAACTCAAGAATCCACCCTGGAAGACAATATTGATAAGGTTTCGATTTTTATCATGCAGATGCATCTACTTGTAGTTGAGATCAAAGACATGTAAGCTCCTCTCGAGTTATTTCATCTTGTTAACCTTAACAAGGGGTAAATGTAATAGGTGAAGGAGGTGTTGATGTTGTACGTATTATACATAGTGTGTAAGTACCAGTACGTAGGTAAATGAAATTAACCACGATTGCATAGGCGGCATTAATCGTGGTTCTAAGAAATTTCGAACAATGTCATAGGTCGCGAAAGGAATGAAAGGCAAAGGATAAGAAATTTCAATTTGTTATCACTAAGTAAATAACGAGGACGAGAAAGTAGACTTCACGACCGCTTCAACTTTACTTTTTACCCTTCCTACGTCGACGTTCTCTCCTCATGCTGCCTCTCCTCTTCATCGTCTGCTCCTTTCATCAACGTCTTGCTCCTGTTCGTGCTACTATGATTCCTGTTGTCATTCTGCTGTGTAGACGTAGTTGAGGCCCGTTGGGCCGCAGCTCTTTCCACTTCAATCGGTGATGGTTCACCGGGTTTCTCCAGCGCTGACGTGAAGCGGTCTGCGTGTGCTTTCCCCATCTCCCTCTGCAGGTCCAAAGGGACGTGCTGTTTGCTCATCCGCACACTTTCAGCCGTTGATTGGGAGATAAAGCTAAACACCAGGTTCAACGGTGCAGAGGCGAAGTAGGGCATGCACAAAATCCAGGAGCAGCTGACGCCGTCTGGGTAGTGGAGCTCTCCGAGACTGAAGCAAAGACGCGCGAACTTCCCCAAATGCTTCATGCAACCAGGGATCACACTCAGCTTCACGTTGCTGCAGTCTAAAAGCAGGAGACAGTTCCTGACGCCGAAAGCTCGACAGACGCGCTCTTTCGCTTCCATGTAATGCACATACGAAGCTTCGATTTCCGCATGGGTGAAGTTGTTAAACAAGGCGTCAAAATCCAAGTGTCGAATTTGCCAGCATTCCACTGGTGTTCCATCGGAGGTAAGATAAACACGTCGTTGTCTGACCAAATCGCTGAAAAATGATCCAGAAGCTCCAAAACTGGAACAGGTAGAGCTGAGGAGAGACTGTATCTCTTTCTCCGAAAAAGTTGTAGATGGCGCTGAAAGTGAGTTGCAGCTACTAGTAAAATTATTTGACGTGGAGGATCCTGATCCAGCAGAGTTCATTTTTCTACTAGTAGCTGTCGTCGATCCAGACCCGGAAGATGAACTACTTGACCCTGTGGTCGTAGTCGAGCCAGCACTTGAAGAACTAGAACAAGTAGCTGCACCATGATTTTGATCACTAGAGCAGCTCGTCGAGGACGTGGTGTTGCTTCTTCTTCCGAACCAAGTAGAAGATGCCGCTGAAAGTAGCCCAGTACCTCCAGAAGAAGACGATGATCTGTTGATTGCTGATGGCGGGAGTTTTTTCCGCGTTGCAATCGGAAATTCTTGGACTAGGCCAGAAGCGGCAAGAGCGACAAGCTGGGGTGTCACTTTTGTTGCCTGCTTGGCTGAAGTAGAAAATGTTGTTGACTTTGTTCTTTGATGTTCCTCCACCAGTTTATTGTTCTGATGTTGGTCTACAGAATCAGAAGCCCCTCCACCTGCTCCCAATATCTGATCCAAAGGATTCACAAGTAGAGTCTTCTGATCGTTATCCCAGCTCGTCTCCTGCTGCTGTTGCTGTTGCTCCTGGTCCTTCTGAGGTACTTCTAGAAGCTCAACTCTTACTTCTTGGTTACTAATAGTACCTTCTTGATCTTGATGAAGCGGCCGCTCTTCATCTCTGGAAGGATCTTCTCTACTTCTACAACTCCTCGCAGGACTAGTAGGATGACTCCGCGTTTTGCTGGCACTTCTCTCTACCAGTTCAGATGCAGTTACGAAGGAAAGATGGTCCGAATCGACTCCATAACTACCTCGAGGACTCGATGTTGTGCTGGAAGTCACTACGTGTTCTTCTGTTGCTCCTTTCACGCTCTTGTTAGTCGTGTTCAGACCAGCATCTATGACTTCTAGACGATCGAAAAGAGCCTCTTCTTGATCTTGTCTTTGATTTCGTTCTACTTCTACTTTGGCCCCCTTGTCGTCGTCATTGTGCTCCACAGCATGTGCCCACGAGTCTTTTTTAGGCTGGTTGTAAAGGAAGCTCGAGCTACGAGAAAGACGACGTCCTGAAGCAGTGAGACACGCGACGAAGCTACTTCTTTTGCGCGGTCGTTTGGAAGGGGAATAGGAAAGCGCGGGCGATTCCTCAAGGAGACCTGTGCTCGTGGTTCTAGATGGGGTTGTGCTTCCTGTCAAGAAGTCCTCTTCATCTACGACCTTTGATTTTTCTGCGTCCCCTTCGTCACATGTACTCCTTCTACCAGTCGCATGCTCCGTTTTTGGCGAGGACTTTGGACTTGATGTCGACCCACTACAGTAGCTCGCGAGTTTGCTATTCCCTGCTACCGCTACCCCTAAATAAAGCGGATTATTTGATGTAGAAGGTGGAGACGATCCATCTAGGATTTCCTCCAAGTCAAGCATCAGGTCTGGCGGAGCTTCCTCTCTCGGTTCGCCTTGAAACGCATCCGCATCCGCTTTTAGTAGTTCCCGGTCATCTATGTAAAATTCTGATGATCTTCCACTACTGCCTCTATTGAAGGTCGTCGATGTCGTTTCCTCTGAATGTAAGTTCTGTGGATGAAAAGACGACCTAAGACCTTGGGAAGTCGAGGTCGCAATAGATGAAGATGCAGTAGCGTTCTGTAGCCCTCCTCGGAAGTCGTCATGTTGGAGTAGTTGGTCCTGCTGCTCGTCCTGCTTGGTGGAGTCGGACATCAACCTATTACTATAATTACCACCACCAAGCGGCCCCACTACGGCCGGCGCGGGTTTCCTTTTCTGCCTAGACAGAGGTAAAAACCCGTTTTCGTCTATTTCTGGGATGACTGGTAGCATGTAGGTTTGCTCGCTTTGATCTGTCAGCATCTCAGCATTTTCCACCAATGGGTAGAAGCCTTCATATCCGGTCGGTTCTGTAAAAGGAATACCCAGAAACGGAAAGACTCGTCGACCAAAAAGTTCCCGTGCTACAGGCATTTCGTCGGATGGAGTTGCTTCTTCTTGTCCTTGTCCACGTCCTCCAGTACCACCAGACGTACAACTACCTCCCACTAGTAGTTTCTGATACTGTTCAGACCCTTTCCGCTTATTTGCTTGCTCGATCACGGGTCTCATCAAGATGTCTGGAAGAGTTGTGACGCGCCATTTCAACGTCTCCAATAATGCGCTTTTCGCTTTTGCAAGTCGCCAATTGTGGTGCTTCAGGAACCTCAGAGATGTGTTTTCGTACCCACCGAGAAACGAAATGCTGGCAGCTACACCCATTGATGTGATTCTACTTGTACCAGATGAACTGCTAGAAGTATTAGAAGTGCTGGCGCCAGTAGTACTATTAGAAGTAGTAGTACAACTAGTAGTTCCGTGTTCTCGTTCTCTTTCCAGTAATTCAGCGATATTCGTCTTCAAAAGAAAATAGAGAAGCGACTTCACTTTTTTGTCCTGAGTCGGATGCGTTCGCAGTTGCGACAGCACTTTCTTTTTCGCGGCACGAAGGATTAGAGGGACAAAACTACTTTCTTCAGGATAAACTACTTCCCATGATGATGATGATCTCTTTGATGTGCTAGCACCTGGCACAATAAATATAACTAAGTTGTTCTCTGCCTCTTCTATTCGAAAAACTGAAATAACCGAGTAACTATTGAAAATAAGGGAGATACTGAAAGGAGAGAAACGTAGTCAAGACTCTCTTACTTCAGTCAGTAGCTCGCTTATTTTGAGTTTTCGAATACAGAATTCTCTTCAAGAACTAGAAGTTCTAGATCAAAAATTGTTCCAAGGCCAAGTCATCTTCAAATATCGCTTGCCCAAGACCATAAATTCAGATAACAGAATCTGTATCGATATCTTGACGAGAAATGGCTCTCCGGTTCATTCCCATCAAAATCTGTGTCGACTAAACCTGCTTCTTGTAGAACGACATCCTCATCTGCAGCTCCACCAGACGACAGTTTTGGACTCGGAGATGGTTGTGCAGGTGACAACGTGGGTGTCCCAGTAACGATCGGCCGCTGACGGAAGTAACCCGTCGGTCCACGCGGCCTCGAGAAGTGCCTAGGCGAATTGCTCATCTTGTTGCTGTTGGAGGGGGTCTGGGCCTGTGCTGCCTGGTGGGTCGAGGCCTGGTGATGCTGCTGCGAGGACATGATATCTTAAGTTGATTGATTGGTGTACCCACTCACATAAAAAAGGCATGTTCTTGTACCCAGTCATTGATGATTTTCACTTCAAATAGGCAAGTTGCTAGTCGGGGTCGGTGTAGTCGTCGTGCAGGAGGGGAATAGCAGGTAATGAAAATGGTTTCATCATCTTCTACAATTGTCATATGTATGATCTACGTGTACTAACGGATCCAGAACTAGTATGATGGTCCTAGGTGCAAAGTAGTCCAGCAAAACAAATGTGAAGTAGACGCAAAATCTAAAAGAATTATCTTCAGTCAAAAAAAAAGTGACCTGAGTCAGTCACTAGTATCATTCAGGGGACAAGAAGTAGGCTGAAGAACCTGATAGATGGGGGTAGAAAATTCTTGGCCATATTAGCCTTCTACATTAGCCATATTAGCCACGTAGTCAATCTCTCATATGCAATTGCAAATAGAGAACTCCAAGGAATTCTCAGGAACAATCTTGAACATTCTCCAATCTGCTTTCTTCTACCCTCCTCAGCTGCAGCACATCAAGGCAACTCGTGGTCAGAAAAAAGGTTGACAGAATAAATCTCGTCTCAGCAACATTGTACTTACGTGCAAACAGACAGAAGTTGAATGACAGCTGGCACAGATATCATGCTCTTGATGCTGATTCTTGAATCTAACATCACCTACTGGAGGAACTCGTCGCTCTCGTTAATACCGTTCAGGAGGCGACCTTGAAGTTCTCGTCCTTCATTGACAATCCGGCGTCGAGCCAGCCCGTCGCCGCCATTAAGGTATTATTATAAAAGACCTAGTCTAGTGTTTGTGTCATGTGTGTCACCTGATAAGTTCATTCGCGACCACCGTTACTTTCAATTCAAGATCTGCTCCTTGGCTCTAGCGGGATGTTCAAGCCGCTGAACCGGTTGAAAATTTCTCGGATCCTCGTTTGTTGGTCTTTGTAAGCCGAATACTGAGGTTTATCTTCTTCACCTCCACGTGGACGACCATCAAATGCGCCACCGTCTACGAGGTAGGCGTGCATCTCATCCCAGAGAATGGCGGGATCGTCACAGTAGCCCATTTTCACCAACTGTTTGCGCATCCAAGCCTGCGTAACGAGATCGAGAGTCTCCAACGCTTCATCCACTAGTTGTCTGTACTCCTGGTTCGTGTAGAAGAGGCCATGCGCCATCTCGTGCCACAAGGTGGCTGAAGTCTCTTCATCCTCGTCCTCTTCTGCAGATGAAGAAGATGAAGACTCATCCTCCTCGTCCAATTCGTTGTTCTTTGATTTTTGCGATTTCTTGCGCGACCGCCCGGCAGTCGTACCGATCACGTAGAATGGAACACTCTTATCATCTTCAGTCGTAAACACATCAAATGGATCTTCTTCTGGGTGCGTCGACGTGCTCAATTGCGACCTCATGACCATATTCGCCAATTTGGTGATAAGTGCCTTTTCTAGGGGACGCAATTGGAAGCCTCCGCCGCCTTGGCTCTTTTTGATGAAAGCCTTGAGAACCCAAGATGGTATGTTAAATCCCGGCCAACTCACGTAATAATCCCAACCGTTCTCGGAGATAGAACTGGAAGGATCTTTACTTGTATCTTCTTGTTGAAAATGCAACTTCTCGTGCTTATCCTGCGCTTCTTTCACCATCGACTTCGACGAACTAGAACAAGAAGATGATCGTCCATTTTGCTTTGCGTAGAAATCGCGGAACTCCTCAAGGGTGAAAAAGTTGTGCCGGAAGCGACTGTCTGTGCCCTCGTAATGCTCTTGAAATCGTACAAAGGCAGATGCAAGGACAAGTTGCGTTTTCGCGGATACATGATAGACACGCGGAAGCACTTCCTCGATGTCCAAGACATCTCCTAGAGCTGCGAAAAAATCAAAATTATAACTCCCAACATCGCGACCACCAGCATCACTAGCATATTCTTGTTCTCCTTCCAAGAACATGACGTCGCAAAGGTAGTCGAAATAACGGCAAATAAAATCACTGACGGAGCTGAATGCCCCGTTTGAAGATGCAGTCAACAAGTCCTTCTGGCTCATGATCTCAACCCAGCAAATACCCCTCTTCGCGACACGCAGCAATTCATGTAAGGTATCGATCGCGGAAACAGCAATCACCATGTTCATGTTGGAGGACGAGGATGGTAGTACATGCTTCTGAAGAACTTTGACCAACTCCGCTGCAATATCAAGGCGAACGTTACGAATCGTCAGAAGGGGACCTTGAACATCAACTTGACCCCTGCTACTGCAGCTACCACTTCTAGTGGTAGTACCATTACCAACAGTAGTGGCATCACTAGCATCTTCTCGTTCTCCTTCACTAGTACGACCAGGAACAAAGCCGTGAAGATGTTTTTTCGCAGCACGACTCTCGACCTCCTGCAGAGAAATCTTCTCATTTCCCAAACAAAAAGTCGTGGGAAGAAAAGACAAAGCCATCGTGAACTTCGGAACCGGAAAGGCGGAAACTAGATCAAAGTCGGCCTTGAAAAGTGGTGCTCCTCCCGTACTACAACTAGCGTGGGGCACCACGGAGCAAGGGATTATGATACCACTTTCAGCATCTTCGAAGAGTATATCTTCATCTTCGCCATCAACATGAAGATCGTCCTCGTCCTGCGTCTCCTGCGATACTTCTTGTTCTGTAGTACAAGCTTGACGAGCCGAACGTTCATCTTGAGGGGACAGGAACGCCGATTCCTGTAACCGTAACGTAATGGGAGTAGACTTCCTCTTCAGAATGCCAAGGTACTCCAGATATTCTACGCTGAGGGGCTGCGCCATCCTGATCTTTTCTAATAATGGAGTATGAATTAGATGGTAGGTTATTTAACTTCACTAACCTCTTTCTAATAGTAATAAATTAGGTATGGGTATTAATACTAATAGGCTATGGTTTTGGTTTAGCTATAGCAATTTTTTGGCCTTGGGTTTACTAGTAATATGCGGTTTACAACAAGAAGGATGATGATGCGGTTTATAATACACAAGAAACACAGGAGCTAACTGTAATATGAGTATGTATTCAAAAGTACAAAACTAGTCCCTAACGACACCACGCTCGTGGTCGTAGTACTGGAAAAGATTCGTGGATAACTGTTCGAATTTAGTAGAGGGAATCAGAGCACATCGCGATCGCCTGAGTGATTGATCTTTTGTTGCTCCTTGGCAGTGCTGTCAAGTGCCTGGACATCTTGGTTCTGGTTGCTAGTGGATGACGTATTACTGGCGGCTGCCGTTGGATCTGCATCAACTGGGTCAAGCTGATCTTTCTTCTACAGATGAGCGATCTTTGTTTCTTGTCGGATCTTAGTACTTGTGTATCCTAGTACTTTTCCGTCTTAGTAGCTGTGGATCTTATAGCACTTGTGGAACGTAGTCGTACCTGTGGATCGTAGTCGTACCTGTGGATCTTAGAAGTACTTGTGGAACGTAGTCGTACCTCTGGATCGTAGTCGTACCTGTGGATCTTATATTAGTACTTGTGGATCGTAGTCGTACCTGTGGATCTTATATTAGTACTTGTGGATCTTAGAAGTACTTGTGGATCGTAGTCGTGCCTGTGGTTAGGTTAGGTTATGGATCCTTCAAACGAGCCTCACAGGCACCTGCTGCTCGCCTCCGAGGATGATGGGTGAAGACTACGAAAGTCAACGACAATAACCGAGGCGATGACTACGAAAGTCTTGCCATTAATTACGACCGATGTCCATTTAGATCATTCACCATCTGACGACGACCGAGACACAATACACCCTTTTCGCATCTTCTTTCTGACATCTTTCTTTCCATTGTATCGCTTCCATCTGGGGTCGCACACGCACTGATTTCGCCGCAGACTGCTGAGAAGAACCTACTTTACTTAGTTACCATTTATTATTAATCCTACAACAAGAGTTCTTGTTTCGAAAGCTGCCTGCTGAGTAGTAGAAGGATAGTCTTGTGAAATGAACCGTAGATATGGATATCAATCAAAAAAGAAATACCTTATTCATTGTTCAAGAGAGACAGAGGATAGTCAGGTTAATAATCATATACATTGGGCAGCAACAAATAAACATTAGTCATAATCACAATTTTTCAGCAATTGCGGTGCAACCTACCAGTGCTGTGGAATATGCCCAAAGAAGTCCTGGAGCAGCTGCAAATCAGGTACAGCAGGTGATACTTCGACGGGAATTTTATCCTGTTTCTTGAAGAATTCAGTTTTCGTCATGTTCGTACCCTGGTACTGTCCTGGATCATGTTGACCACCATGCTGTTGATGTTGCTGTCCTCCGTGTTTACCCCCGCCACGCTTAAAGAAACAATAATAATATCTTTTGGCATTTATTGGCTATCAGTGTTCAGCAGTTGGTAATACCCTCCAGTCACAAAAAACAATGAAAACCCGCCCACCGCTAGCAGAGACCTGTCAATTCCTCGTCGAGGCCAGCACACGGCAGAGGTTGAAGAAAGGCTGAGATGTCAAATTTTAAGAACGGCGAGACCCCCATTGTGACACAGAGCCTTAAAATTTTCGCCTTGAGGCGCCCACACGGTAGAGGTCGTCGGCCACAGGAAACAGCCTGTGGATCTTAGTACGCATACAAGAACTTAAAACTCTCGTTCTTGATCATTGTTTAGCCTAAGTGAAGTAGCTTCTCCTACTACTAGTTCAACATTCTTGATCCTTGTTCAACTTACTTCGTTGCAGTAAAAAAGGTTATTGCGTAACTCAGAGTCTACTTACAACTTCTTGTTAATCTTCCGTCAAGATCATCAGAGGCCGAAAGAAAAACGACATGGAATAACACCATGTTGTTGATTGTCAGCAAGACGAGCTCTTGGGCAGAAAAGTGTGCTGATCACAGACCTCTGTGATGAAGAAGAAGATTGGCTTTCACGAATGTTGCAGATGTAGATGAAGAACTAAAAAAATTCCAGAATCGTTGTTGTAAGCATTACCTTGTGTTAGCTGTTGATAAAAAAAGATGATTGAAATAGATTTAGATTGATTAGAATCCGTTTGCTTGGAAAGTATGGTTGGAAAGAATTTTGTCTGCAGCGTCAGCGTCCTGAGATTTATATAGGTTTAGCTTCTATCTAGCACGTCGGAGTGGATATGCATTATTTTCTCTGCGACGAGATGAAATCGAAACTAGCTCTCAGCATCAGCTTTTTTGTTCAAGTTCATCATCAAACGACTCCCAGTGCCGGAGAAAAAAGCTTTGATTCGTATTCGTAAAACACGTTGGTTCTCACATCAGTGGGCATATCCCTCGGTAGCGTGCACCTCTGACGATGTCGTCGTCGCCAGTGCTTGCTGCCGGTGTAATAGGGAGATGTATTATTCATCGCGCCAGTCCATGAATGGTAGTACAAATTTTGCTGGTGTTGGAGTTGGACTTGCTTATGTTTTCCTCGAGTATTGTCCAGCTCGTCATCCTCGACAGGAACTTCTTTTCTCCGCACTAAATCCCACTGAAGTACACCAGAACCGCCGTTGGGTCTCAGGTTTAAACCCATCTGGAACGACGTGGCTTGCATCAGGCGGACGGATCTTTTTAGTAATGTAGTACGTCTGCTTCCCTGTCGCTGTCCTTCTACGATATTGAGGGTGCTATTGCCGACGCGCAGCTCGTAGGAAGAAGGTTCATCTCGATCCTCAGTCACCTTGTTCGAATTTGGCGTCCAACCATCAACAGGGCTCACTGGCAAATACCACTTTTCAAGACCTTAGAAGAGAACAAGTACTATAAGGCTGTAAGTACTACATCTTCTACATTTTTGTGCGGTGCTGGTGTGAAGAACATGAAAAAACTATGGCCATGGGTATGGCTGAGGCTATCAAACTCTATTTATGTTGTCTCACTCTCATCTTCCTTCATAATAAAGCATCAGCCTCCGATTTCGTCCGATAAGGGAAGTGAGATTGCGACCAAGTCCGAGACGAAAGTGCCAAGCATCCTTTTTTGGTCTATATGCCCACAAAATCTTCTCTGAAGTGGCTTTACGATCCTTCACTGCATCCCTGTAGATCCTTGTGGCTTCTGGAAGGTAGCCTGGACTTAGAGGGGAGGGTGGAGAGGTGACAGTGACACAGGGAAACAACCATGGCGCTTCATCTAGTGCTGGAAGGTAGTATGAGTTGTATGGACTCCTTGTTACCCTCATTAGAATACGAGTGAGAAAGAGTAGAATGAGATTGTGATTGAGATATACTACTAGATGAGAAGATAGGGTAGAGGAATTTGCTATTTTCGAAATTAATCTCGGGATTGTCGGCCTTAACGGTAGATACACTCTCCGGCGCAAAATTCGATCTGCAAGAGCACGCTTTTCTCGCGTCCTCAACGGTGGCGGTTCGTTCTTGTAGGATGGGGATGTGTTCGTGGATGACGCATGATCAACATCAACTACTTCTTGTCCTCCTTTACCGACAAGTCTATCGATGTAGAAACTGAAACCTTTATCGACTTCCACTAGGTCGCCAGTGGTTGGATCCGTTTCTTTTGGTTGCTTCTTCCTCTCTGCAATCATGAGTCCGATAATTAACGCTCGTTTTTCACTATGCCTGAAGGTTGAGTTAGTTCCCCTTTTCCCCCATGTTTTCCCCTGTGAACCAAGGGGGACTCCAGCCAGTGCCAGGATTTAGTCCACATCATGGGATATTATGGGTCCAGCCAAGCTAACTAGGAAAAGAAAGAGGAAGGATAGTAGGTATTGAAAAAGGAGCCTTAAGATAATGTCGTCGTAGACGCCCACCCTGCCGCGTTTCGTGGCATGTAACCTTCCAGAAAAGGCTGTTCTGCTAGAAGATGGTCGTGTAGTCTTCCCGTGTTTCCTATGCCAGGCAGCCAATCTGGTGAAATTCAGCATCGCACGTGTATCCCCATATGTCTGTCCGAAGACCAACAAGTCGTTACCGCGCTCAACATCTCGATGTAGAAAGATCCGACGCTTTTTCTTCCTCTTACTCTGTTCTTGTGGACTTGGTCTTGGTGTACTTTGTGCTTGTTGTGAAGAAAGTAGTAGTTGCAGGTCTTCCTCTCGTTCCCTTTTCGCCTCTGCTTTATCCTGGTCTTCTATTAGGCTTTGGTGCGCAGATTTCACTATCTGCATGCGACAAAATGGAGCAGGGAAATGTTGCGCAAAGTAGCATAGTTGATAGCGTCTCTGACTCTGCTTGTAGCGTGAATTCACCAGATCAAGGTTGTGCCAGAAAACTTTGTCCGTAATGCGGTCTTTGTCGGTACGAGACAGACGGCTCTTGTAGTTTCGAGCCCCTCTAACTTTAAGAAGGCTAGGGCTACACACAGCGTGGGCACCCAGTATTCGTTCTCGTCGTCGTCCGTGGTTTCCTTGTATTCGAGTTGACTCGACTTCGTCAGGAGTCCGCGTCAGAGCGTGAATGTTGAAGTTCTCCGCTCCACAAAACGACGTTCCCAGCGCACTAGGAAAGGCAGAGGACGTCGAAAGATGGTCATCTGGTGCTACTTCATGTTTATTTTGTTGTAGTTTTCCAGTAGAACCAGTAGTACCAGATGAAGATCCAGCACTTCCCTTTACTAATATATTCTGCGTTTCCTCTGACCATCGCAATCGTTGTGCACTATTGCGCGACTCGTCGTGGCCTCCAGAGGCCAAGGACCAGTAGAGATAACGGAGGCGCAAATATATGGAAAGGTTGGGGCCGTAGAGGAATAGATGCTGCCGCCAGTGCAGATCCAGTGCACATTTTTCCGCTCGTTCAAGGTGCTCTATAGGGTGGAAGGGATTGCGAAGATTCTTTGCATGCTGAATATCCTTCAGGAGCTTTTTAGTGTTGAAATCAAGTAGTGCAAGTGGTGCACCTCCAGTAACCTCTGCTCCTCTACTCCTCCCGTAAATCGGCACTACTCTCGTAGCAGGAGCACCGGTTGTCTTAATAGGATTGACTGCTGGTGCTGACGTGCTGGAGGAAAAATCCTTGACTTCACGAATCGTTAAGCCTACGATTACGTTGTCGGAGGTTCTTTCCCTTTCGACACCCAGCTGTGGTTCTGCCGGATTTTTCACGATGTTACCTTCACGTTCAGCACCTTCTTCAACAACATCATCAATCCGACTTCTCAGGCCACGTGGAAGATTTTCTACACCAAATTCAGTAGCGCGTTGACGGCAGGTGACACCCGGCTCATGGTCTTCGACTACATCTTCCAGCGTATGCCACCACCAGAAACGGCCACTAGTTGAGACAGGAAAGACTCCACCTGGGTTCCAGTCGAGCAGCTTCTTAGAGAAGACGGCTTCTTCCTCTTCGAGATTGTGTTTCTACTTCTACTTGACCTGCTATCTATTTCGCATGTCTGAGAACTTTTCAATGTGCTTATCGATCCCACTTTGAAGATAAAGTCATAGATATGCGTGGTTTGGGCACCACGCCTAGTACCAGTAGGTGCTTTACTCCAAGATGAACCTCAACCACCCCACATAATATTCACTGTCTCACTGCCTCGCTGCTTCACTTTTTTTCTTATCACGCCTCCCGTATCTGCATCTGTTTCTCCAAGAACTCCATCTGTACGACCTCCACGCACATCAACTACTAGCTCTTTGATTTGTTCAGGATACCGTGCTGCGTTCCCCGCCGTCGTCGGTCGTTGGTACAACTCCCTGAACGACCCCGATTCGTCGTATAAATCTAGTAAGGACCGCGTTTCCAGATGAGTGCAACTTTTCAGCTTTTCCACGTCATACGTTTGTTCTAGTGCGTTTGTTGCTTTTATCTTCGGTTCGGAGTGACGCAGGACTGCTGTACCATTCACCGCACCCTTCATACATCGGTCGTAAAGTCGTTCTGCGGTTTTTCGCAGAGTAGAGGTAGGCGAAGAAGACTGGGCATCCAATGCGGCATTAAGGTGGGACTCTGCACCTTTGCCAATGCCCTGGCTACTTGAAACATATTTTTGCGTCTCAGTACTAAGGGCCTCTCCAGATGACGAAGGCGCCTTGATGGTGTTCCCGCTCTGATCTCCTACATTGATTTTGATCTCTTCCAATCCTAATCGTGGAACATCTTGTAACGACCGCCCTTTACCGCCAGCGCCTTTGACAAAGAACTTTGGCCCATGCTCCGAGACCCCAGGCACGCCTAAACCAGGAACCGTGCTGCCACTAGGCAACACAGCCACGCTTTCCACAATGGCTTTGGTCTCTACGATAGGCCGTTTTACCTCTGGAATCCTCAAATAGGTGTCAGTATCACTCTGGGCAAATCGTCGGCGGCCCATAGAAGATCCGAACAGCTGTCTAGGATAGCGTCGCAGACTATGCATGCTTAGAGCTGCTTCTTCAGGCACTTCATTTCTCGATGCCTGCATTTTCTCCCCTCCTAAGCCTAACGGTGAAGGAAAATAAAGCGAGGAGGGACTGCTTGACCATGAAATTGAAATAGGTGTACTAGAAATGAATTTGTTGGATTGCATATTCTTGAGCCATAACATGCAGTGTTCGTCGTGGAAAGCAGCCATCATTTCGTGCCCACTCACAAAGGCAGAACAATGCCGAAACAGGATGCGTCCGTAGTAATCAATCACGATTTGATGTTAGACATCCTTACCGATATGGATAAATTCATCTTTTACTACACCGAGCCTTTGGCATCATGTGTCTGTTCCCCTTGAAATCGTGCCCAAAGGTTAGGTTGCGATGGCAGTACACGTGCACTAAGCTTCACAGCAACTGCACCGTACGAAGTAATTGTAAGACTATCAAAGGAACTATCAACTCACTGTACAAAGCGGGCTGGGTCATCAGCTGCGCCCTGATGTCATTGCGATAATATCAAGATGACTCTTCTAGCTCATATGTTATTTCTATATCACCTTATTAGGACGACAAGTTTACTCCAGCAGTAAAGGGGTCTTATCCTAGTACTAGAAGTGAATATTGATAGACAACAAACTAGCTCAGCTAACTAAGGGTGGTCAGATGAGCCGGCAACAAGCCATAATGATGACTGTAACTTCCAGCAGTAAAGGGGTCTTCAATGGCCTGGAAGAGAAGCACGCGTCGCTTCCGTAGTAAATGTAGCCATTTTCTCGCAGTGGGCGTTGCGTAATCGTTCGGGAATGATATGCCGTAATTGAATTCAGGATCAGTGATCTTGTTCATGTGACGCGATGTTGTTGATGACGCTTCATGTTCACCGTTGCCAACATCAGCACCATCTCCCTCTCCGTCTCCGACATCGTTCAATATCTGAGCAATGTAGGGACTCAGTAAGGCTGGACTTTGTTCTTGAACAGCAGCAGCAGCAGCAGAAAGCGACGAGGAAACACTAGTACAACCCGTGCTCGAGGTACTAGAAACCTTTTCTTTACCACAAGTTGGCAGCGTATCTTCAGAAGCGACTACAGCAGGCGCAAATGTCCCCAATGACATCAAAGATATTCTTCCTTTCGCATTCGGTTCTTTGCGGTTCATCAACAATGGAAGAATCTCACGAAAAATATCTTCATCTCCCCCAAAAAGCATCCAACTCCGTAAGTGTCGGTAGAAACTGTCACAGCACCAGTCTAGATACCATTGTGGACTCTTCGTTTTGCGAAGCATATATTAGCGCTACTTTATTTCACTAAGGAGCTTGGTTGAGTGGCTTCCCCTGCTTGGTTTTCCCCCTATTCTACCCTTTAAGAAATCAAGGAGGACTTCACTCAGCATAGTTGTTGTTCACGACTTGGGATACTACTGATAAACTAACTAAGTAGCCATAAATGTACTCCAATTGCATAGATATCACTGGGTGTCTGGGAACTACCGCATACACCGACTCGATACCAATGACCGGTCCCGCAAGTCTGATGCCCACAAAAGTCGCATTGGGACGCTCAAATAGACGCTGAAACCTGTCCGGAGATTCGATCCAAACATCGACAGCCTCAGTGTGCCCGCCAATGGTGTTAGAGCTTCTAGATTTGAAATCTTCAGATGAGACTCCTTCAATCTTGACTACATACTAGACACAACTGCAGGTAGGAGGCACACTTTACGACCGTGAACATCGAAGATCATGCTCACGCTGCCTACAAGTGGTAACATACAACAAGGTACAATGAAACAATTTTAGCCATAAAAGTATGAGCAAACCAAAAAGCGCAGATATCTCCCATGTGAGGTGAGCGAGCCTTCGGAGATATCTTTTCCTTTGCGCTTTTCAGTGTATACAAGTGGCGCAGAGCAACCTCTACGTCTTGGACTGTCAAATGCGTACTGTTTTTACTGGTACTCGATGAAGATCTAGATGCTTGTACAAGTTCAGTACTAGTAGAACTAGTAGATGAAGAGTCTTCTGTTGAAGACTCCGTCTCCGACTCGTCTGCTTCATCTGCCATGCTCCTCAGAAACGTCGACTCCCCGTAAGGCGCATGATCCCTTCGGTTTACAGGGAAGTGCTCGAACATCTGCAAACAACCTCCGTTGTTGAGATAGACGACGGTGCAGGGATCCGGTTCTCCAGGATACTGCATCATGCGTATGGACCCCCATTCATTTCCGTATATCCGCAAGGCTTCGTTTCTCGGGTCGTCTCTTACTTGTCTCTGTTCTTCGGTTTGTAAAGTTCCATGATGGTCCTCGAGAGTCACCACTTGCTTGGACGGAATGCACTGCACCCGAAGCATATACTCAAGGAAGCGCTCGTCTTCTTGCGGTAGTCGGTTTGTTGCGATGAGCGTCCTGGGGATCCCACCAGACTTGGATTGACGGTTTAGCAAAAACTTCTTCATCAAGCGCACAGGTAAATTGGGACTATGTAATCGATTCAGCTTTACCACGCTCTTGTTTGGAGTTTCATCTTCTGTTTTATTATTCAGTTGTAGTAGCTTTATTGAAGAAGATGTTCTTACAGCAGGAACATTTTCTACATGTACTTCTTTTTGATGTTGTTGGCCTTTACCACTTCTAGAAGAGTCCGCGTCCCCCAAGCTTGCGGTGTTCCCCTTTCTGTCCACAATAGATCCGCTCAGCGTGTCACGAACAGACTGCAAAACGTCAAAGTGCGGACTATATTCTTCTTCATCTCCTCTAGGTCTAGTACTAGCGCTGTCTCTAGTATAATGAGCATCTTGCTTCACTTTTCGACTGCCGCTATGATCCTCCTGTTTTTTCAGCTGCACCTTGCCTTTATTGCCTTCACCGACCTCTGTGTTACTAGAAGTCGACGTGCTCCTCCCCACATCTTCTAGTAGAGTAGCAGACCCAGACGCAGCGCCTGTCCGTGTCCTCGTGCTGTCGGTTTCCACCTCAACATCTGAGGGCATCGTGCTCCTCGTGGGTCCGGCCACCTCAGCATCTGCTGTACTTCTGCTAGCCCCCACCTCATCTTCTGATGTGCTCCTCGTTTCTACCTCATGATCTGATACTGATCTACTCTTAGCCCCCACCTCATCTTCTGATGTACTCTTAGCCCCCACCTCATCTTCTGATGTACTCTTAGCCCCCACCTCATCTTCTGATGTACTCTTAGCCCCCATTTCATCTTCTGATGTACTCTTAGCCCCCATCTCATCTTGTGATGTACTCTTAGCCCCCATCTCATCTTCTGATGTACTCTTAGCCCCCATCTCATCTTCTGATGTACTCTTAGCCCCCATCTCATCTTCTGATGTACTCCTCCTCCTCGTTTCCACCTCATCTTCTGACGTTGTGCTCCTCATCCTGGCTACCTCTAATATATCTTGATCTTCATCTTCCCTTACGGAAGGAGAAGATGAAACGGATGGCACGTGGTCCACATCCATACTACGACTTCCGAATAAGGACCTCCATGCTGCATCGAGGACCCCATGCACTGGAGCCGGACCACCTCGCACGAGTGTGGAAATCGCAAATAACCAATGAACGAATGTCCGCATTGTAGGTAGACGGGTCATGACCGAGAAACGTTTCCCGAATGTGGTGGACATGTCCGAGTGAGGCTCAGCAAAACCTTTTGGACGAATGTCCGCATCGTAGGTCGACAGGTCAACATGACGGAACAGATACTACGTACAGGATAGACCCCTACATCTTAAAAATCTCGAGGAATGCGAATGGTCGCTCTCACGCGATTCTTTTTGCTCTAAGCAGGAGACGGTCTACTGTTAGTATTATGGGCCGTGACCGTCTAGGTCTCCTAGTAGTATTATGCGAAGGCAACCGCAACTATATCTATGTGCATGTCTACGTCCACTTCCTCTCGTCTGCCGCTCTCTCTCTCTCTCTCTCACGCGTTCTCTCTCCCGTCTTCCTCTCCTCGTTGCTGCGAGCCTCCATACTTCTCCGCAGTTACTTACAGCACATACTTCTGCCGGAGCAGCTCTATTACCCTCTAGAAGACCGACATCACGACAAGGGAACAACCATCACGACAAGGGAACAACCATCACGACAAGGGAACAACCATCACGACAAGGGAACAACCATCACGACAAGGGAACAACCATCACGACAAGGGAACAACCATCACGACAAGGGAACAACCATCACGACAAGGGAACAACCATCACGACAAGGGAACAACCATTACCATCACGACAAGGGAACAACAACAGCTATCATACACTTAGCATTGGCGACAGCTTGGACTAGAAGTAGAGACGACCATGATTGTGCTCTGTAGATCAAGACTATCTCATCGGCATTAGCGATTTTTTTTCCCACAAGATTCGCTGGAAATGTTTGATCTGATCATAGTTTTTTCTTCGCTTCGTCATCATCTAGTGAGTTTATATCTAATATTAACCTGCGCGAGTCGTTGAGCCGCCACGCTTATATTTAGTTTGAGCATTTGGATGGACTGGAAGACAAGACTGCGGACGAGGAGAATGCGCCGGGCCCAAATTTATGCACCAGGGCGGACCCAGATGTGAGGGATCAAACACCACACACCCCGCGGGCACTCCGATCGAAAGACGTGCCGCGATGTAAGTCTTAAGATACTTCGCGGCGCAGTACTTGAAAACCAAAGGAAAATGCGATAAGTCTAGTATTGATCCGCGCCCCTCGCGCTCGCTCTTTCTTATTCTTATTGCTATTCTTAAATGTGCTACTTATAATATCTCCAATCCGCCATCAGTTGTCTACTTTTACTAGGTCTTTCATCGGCTTCGTTTCTTTTCAGATCAAACGCGTGACTGTAGTCGGGTAGCCTGCGCGAGTCGTTGAAGCGCCACGCTTTTATTTAGTTTGAGCCTTTGGATGAACTGGAAGACAAGACTGCGGACGAGGAGAATGCGCCGGGCCCAAATTTATGCACCAGGGCGGACCCAGATGTGAGGGATCAAACACCACACACCCCGCGGGCACTCCGACCGAAAGACGTGCCGCGATGTAAGTCTTAAGATACTTCGCGGCGCAGTACTTGAAAACCAAAGGAAAATGCGATAAGTCTAGTATTGATCCGCGCCCCTCGCGCTCGCTCTTTCTTATTCTTATTGCTATTCATAAATGTGCTACTTATTTAATATCTTCAATCCACCATCTTCAGCTGTCTACTTTTACTAGGTCTTTCATCGACTTCATTCTTTTTCAGATCAAATACCATACGTGACTATATTCGGGTATAATGCAATTTCGTTTGCCCGCACAATCAGAAGCCTCTATTCTCCAATCTCTTCCTATATTTTCCTCCAAATCTCTTTCTCATTCGCTTCTTTCCACGCACAAGCAGCCATCCACTCGATCCCCTAACACAACTGCATCAAGTGGAAGTGTCTAGGGGATCGTTCCCCTACCACAACATCAAGTGTCTAGTGTCGTAAGGACGATTGGACATCCACCTCCAACGCCTTTTGTAGCAACTCTTTGGCAACCGCTTGGGGACCGAGAGGAGCCTTCTTATCGTCGCCGCCCTCGAAGTTTTCGTGGTCCACGGCCGTCTTGATCTCTCTCGCGATGTCCTGCGCAGTAGAGTCGCTCATTTGCTTCAAAATTCTCTTTGCGATAGTCTCCTCGTCTGGCGTTTCGTTTGAACTGAAGTTGATCTCTAATGGCTGCAGGTCGTGTTCTTCGTCTTCCACGACGACCGGAGAAGAGCCACCTGGTGCAGGTGGAGGTTCATCTCCGGCCGAGGCGCCTCCAGCAGTTCCTTGCTTTTTAGCTCTCCGCATCTGAGCGACCATTTCGCGATGCCTTGCAAACCATATTCGCTTATCCGGTTGCGGCTGCTGCGGCACCCACCATCCCTCGGGAACTCCTGCGTGGGCTGCCCAGAAAGAGCTCATGGCTCCGAACCCGTGCGCCACAAAGCTGCAACGAGGAAACAAGAAAGCGTACTCTGCGGAGCCAATTTTAGAGCTACCGCGTTCGCATCCCTGACAGCAACCCTGGCTTCTTTCTGGAATAGTAATAGAAAATTTAGGGCCAGGGATGGTGCTGAGGATGCTCCAGCAGTAGCCTTAACAATTGCATGTATTTTGTTGTGCACCATGTCCTCCTCCAATTTACCTTCTGTGATGAGGTTAGATTTCCAGTCCTCCCTTCCTCTCGGATCTCCAAAGGAAGATCGCTGCACAAGGATACGCACATTTTCATCCCCTTGCAACAACAGCTGCTTGAATACTTCCGCGTGTTTCAGGCCAAGGCCAGAACTTTGAGGAGAAGTGTCGAAGTCTAACAAGGGCACCCCGCCAGTACTGTCAGCAAAACAGATCGTTTTCGGGCTACTTTTTGCTCCCTCAGTTTGGGATCCACCAAGGAAACCCTCGAGGTCCTCGCCGAGTTCCTGGCCTTTTTCAGCGGCCAGAGCCAGTAGATCTTCCCGACGGAAAGCGGGGGCACCATAGCGGTTTGCTTCGCGTGCTAGTTTGGTCCTGCAAGTCGGCTTATTATTTTCTAAAACCGCCGACTTCAATACCATGAACTTGAAATTCCGAGATTCATCTGGTGAATAGCGGTATGCAAGGTCCCCCACAACAAGACCGATGTGCGCGTTCAACGAATGGCGGTTGTCGTCTTCTTTATCGGGATTAGTTCGAGTAAAAAGGATCTCGCGAGTGGCCGCGGGTTTCAGTTCCAGCAGTGCACAGTGCGAAAAAAAAAATTGCGGTGCTCGCTGCCCTTTCAGCAGGTCCTCTTGCGAAAGGAAAGAGTTGGAGATGATGATCTCAACACTGCTGTAGTTGATCTTCCCCTTCAATACGGTAGTTAACACCTGCTCCTGCTCCCCCCCCCCCCCTTCATTTCCATCATCATCTTTGCGTATAGTATTGCGGCGAAAAAGCTTTTCGAAATAGTCTGACGAAATGATAATAGGCGACGTACTAGAAGTACCAAGAGGAGCCACTACTTGATGAAGATGCTTCTGTTGTTCCTCTTGCTGCTTCTGTTGCTCATCTAAGAGCACGAGATTCTCGGGTTTGTGCTTCAGGGTCAGTTCCACCATCCTTTTTACGGCGTTGGTTGCGATAAGTAATAGCTTGTTGCCAGTAGTCCCCCCTCCCGCGCTTACGACAACCTTTACGTCGTAGCCACGCGTCTCGTGGTACAGCCGATGCAGCAACTCCGAGTACACCGCTAGATAGGGGTCCACGTCCCCTCGTGTGTGGGCGTTGTCCTCGATGGCGAGCAAGATTCCGACATTTCCACGCGGCTGCTGTACTTCAGCAAACACGCTTTGGAGGTGCCACGACCCGGTGCTTCCTTGCGGCGTCGAGAGAAACGAGGGCGCTGGGTGACTCAGCAGGGTCATTCATTGGGCGAGCGCCTGATGGTTCTTGCCGCCCAAGAGTAGGGGCAAAAGAGTGGCCACGGCTGCCCCACCGAATCCGATTCGAGACGTCATCACTTTTCGCGGTCTGTTGCTGTTCAACAAAGAAGAACAGAACTATTAACTTATATATTTGAACAACTACTGGGATAGATTAGTAGAACTTGGATAGCGTTACTAGCGATCGTACAACTTGGATAGTAACACCTGAATAGAACTTGGGTAGAAGAATTTGGCAAAATACTACTTGGGCCAAGGAATGTTCAATTTAATGCTTATGCATTATCAGACTTTATTAGACCTCATGGTGCTGATTTTTCCTTTCTTGTTTTCAGAGGAAGAAACACTGGAATCGATCGGGGGAAGAAAAAGTCATTGCTTCTACTTTGTTGTAATTGAAAGAGTCAAGAATAATTGATAATTATACTTCGCCTACAGCGTCAGCGTCTACGTCTACGTTCACGTCTTCTCTGTTTGTGGTGGATATCAATGCTAATGCTGTCAACATCAACCTAATTCATTCATAGAAATGCCTGATCAACGTTCGCTGATATTTCTATTCAGAAAAAAACCTGATCAAGAGAGGTAGAACAATTAGTGAGTGAGTGAATGAATGTGCCTAGCAGGAGGTGTCTGCAGTGCCTTTCAAGGAAGGTCTCGAATTTTACTTAATATGGCTTTGCTGCCTTGTCTTGTTTTGTCTTTCCTTTGGTTTCATAGACGAACTTAGCACTACTCAAGAACGTGGGTGGGAGATTCCGATGTTGGTAAGTAAATCCTTTTTCTCTGCGTTTTGATGATTTTCCACAAATGGCCTAAAAGACAATGGTCGTCGCACGCTTTTCTGATTCTTCTGCGTTTAATGTCAAGAATGGGCACCATTTTCATAAATTGTAAGAGCTCCTGTAGGAGCATCAAGAAGCAGATGAGCCAAAAATAACTCTCACATTACGCTATTAAAATTTCAGTGTTCTTCTCCTCCTGTTGACAACAGACGATGTTGCTACTCCGCAGGCTTTAGACCTCCTCGCAACAGAGTCACTTTTAGATTACGTTCTTCAGCGTTGGCTTTCTCAGAAGTTTTGCACTGCAAACACAGATGGAACCTCCCAGGACTCGGACAGAGTTTTCTTACGCTCCTCAAGCGAAATAATTGTTGCGCTCCTCCTCACTGCCTCTGATACAGAAAAGCAACACTCTCGCGACAGAGTGACTAGGCATCTTCGATAGAATTAGAAAGGTCCACGACCTCCGTGCTCAAATTATATTGAATGAATGTCATGTCTTCTCCTTGTCTAGTTTCTTCTCGCCGAACACGGACAGCCATAACTAAAAAGACGGCATCAAGACCATGTACTTGTGATCAAGATCACGCCCTTATGCATTATCGTTTTTTTCTCCATTAGTTACCATTTATTTAGAGGTGGACGCAGCAAGCGTGTCTGTGTCAGCGTCAGGAAAATAAGAAGATACAGTCTGTAGTTTGCAACTTTTCAGAAGTGCTACTAGAATGGTGCCAATCTGTCTTGCTAAGAAACCGCATTATATAGCACGACTACCCTCTTCTAGTTTTACATGGCAGACCGTGAGAGACAATCAGAACCTCATTGTCTCCGACGTCGTGTTGAACTACTTCGGAGGTCCTGCCCTTTGACGGACAAGCAGGATCCCTACTGCCCGCTGAGGAGCCGCGCAAGAAGAGCGATACTACCAGTACGAGACTGAGCATCCTCGCCTCTCAGCCTACCTCTCTCAGTCTCCACCTGCACCTCTAAAACTTTGATTTTTGAAATATCAACACGAAGAAAAAATTGGAAAATTCATTCATTAATATCTACACAAAAAATATACCAGTTAGAAGTTCTGCCTGCTACTACTTAACTTGCATCTAATCTCCTGCAGTCAGTATATACACCTGCCAAATAGCACTCCTCGTGTTGACAAACACGACTACGACTAGATGCTATTTTTGTTGAAGCAGGACTAAACTAACCATGATGTGTTCTTACATTAAGTCATTTGAATCTTTTTTGTCATTGTTTTTGTTCTTTATCATTTTTCTATTCAATCATCTTTACTATCGGTAGCTGCATGATTATGATTTGCATCATCAGCATGGCGATGCCCCCTCCTCGATAAGTAACACCTAGTACCTACAGCCACACCACGATGGATAACAAAGTTCTAAATGAGTGAAACTAAGACAATTTTCCTTCATTTCGGTTTTGTCCTCCTTATCTTGACCGAGGAGCCTCTGCTTAACCTCATCTTCTTACAACAGGTTCTGCTCTCCCAGCAGGCTGCTCTCCCAACAGGCTGTCTTATATATAAGTATGTTACAGCCAGTTCTGGTGCTCTCCCAACAGGCTGCTGTGTTTTCCTTCAACTGCCAGTTGTAGTTCTTGTTTCTGCACCAGATGGTGAAGTTGGTTTATCTCTTTCTACTAGATTGTTTCTTGAGCAGATTGTTGTAGATGTAGTTCTTGTTCCTCTTCCCTACTACAACTCTGCTGTATAAATATTTTTCATCAAAATCTTCGTAGTTCGTTGTTGATGTCAAAATCTCACTTCTACTCAGTACTTGTCGAGTCACAGCATCCTCGGGTTCATCTACTTAGACTTAGTTCTAGAAGGAAATAGAAAATCGAACCGAGCAGGTTCCCTTTCCCTTTCCCTTTTTCCAATTAATATCACCAGTAGTTCGATGTAATCTATCTATCATGATCTGTATCCAGGACGCTCCTTAAAACGCGACATCTGTTCTCAGTTTCTCGTCATCAGTGTGAACGCTGAAAGATTTTCCCTCGTGAGAGGGATCATGCTTGAGCTGACATTTGATGTGCGAGAGGACGCAGGCATAGCTCCAGCTGCTTCTCCTTCACCTAATTGCGCCACCAGCCGTCCACCTCCAGATGCTGTTGACCTATTTGGATTACCACCTAGCAACGGGGTGACATCCGAACAAGCAGCCCCCACACCAGGATCCCTTGGGTTGTTCTTGTATATGGCGCGTTCATCGTAAGAATCTTCGGAATTTGCATCTCCACTAGAAGAACCCTCGGCCATGGCAGCTGTAGGATAATCCAAGTCTTCCAATTCCTCCAGCTTACTCGAAAAATCCCCATGTCCTCCTCGTTTGCTCCTCAGAATCAGTAAACCAGCATGGACCCACATGGTGACGAAAATCAAGCCAGGCACGACCCACTTGTCCACTAGGGAAAGCGTGTTGTAGTTCACCATTTCTTAGATGAGCCCAAAGCAATTCATTCCTTCCCTTCATTTCTTCGGAATCCTAAGACGGAAACCGAAGAAGATGAAGATGCTCCTTCTTGTTGGAGCAAATGAATTATAATAACGAGCCTTAAATATTGTAGGAACTTGTACCACTAGCAGTAAGTGCTGATGCTGAGCCCGAGGTGGAGTCGTTTTTCCACAATAGCATTAGCACTAAATATCCGACTTGGGAGGCTGACGCTGTGCAATAGAGCCAGGGGCCCCAGCGAAAGCCCACAGTCCGGCGAAAGCCAATGCCGAGCAAACTAGTCGACATTACAAGACACAACGCCACTGCGAAGCCGATTTTTACGTGGTGTCTTTCTGTGAAGAAGGCGAAGGCAGTAGCGAAATGAGCCGGTTGCTTTAGAGCTCACCCTTATCCATCTTGAGATTCATTCCAGGATCCTTTTCCCCTTGAAAAGCCTCGCTAGGATGCTTCCTGAGATGGATTGGGGTAAGCCTTAACTGTTGCTGAGCTAGAAATTGGCCTTCCACATCTTCTCGCTCTTGGCGCGCTTTTAGGCCAAGACAAGGCGAGATGAAAGCAAAAAAGCCACGGTAGTACGGCAGCGCGCCAGTCGTAGGATTTCGCTTCGATGAAGTGTTCACGCAACAGGTGCACAACAAAAGAAGGTTGGCACAGCATTCGAAGAACTTGATAAACGAAAAGCTCCACAACATGCATTTGCAAACTTGAATGCTAAGATCCAGAGCACGTGCACGACAGGAATATGGTCCTAGTTTCCCTTTCTTCCGCGGCTTTCCTTCGTGAAGATCTCCCTTTTGTTCATCAAGATCCTGTTCTTGCTCTGCTCCAGCATTTTTGGAACTTCTTGTTGTAAGCGCCGCCTGCTTCTGATTTGTTCTCAACAGCTGTTCTTGCTCTTCAGTATAATCTTCGCCGGCAGAGTATTCGTCAGAGTACTCATCATCCGCGCCAAAATCCCAAGAATTATTTGCGTTAGATCTGCGTGAATCGTGGTCATCATGTTCGCCTTCTCCGCGTTTGCCACGAGGACCGAAGATATTGCTCACTACAACACGACGTGGGGAGCCACTGCCGTAGGGCATGGCGTTTAGAGCAGCGAGATCGATTTGCAGGACTTGGAAACTGGAGCCCGGTGACTGATAAGCGAAGGGCGAACGAGGTCTTGTCTCGTCTGGATCATTGAAGATGTCAGCACCCTCGCCAGTTCCTATACCACCAGAGGTCGGCATCAGCATCACAGGATTCGTTTTGTGCCCATCGTCATCATACCCTTGACCGGAGTAAGATCCGTAAGGCATGTAACTAGCAGAAGATGAAGTTACAGCATTGCCCAGGAGAGGACCATGATCATGATCGGTAGCCGTCAAGGAAAAGGGCTCACCTCTGTTCTTGGTTCTCTTGCTCTTGGATGACATGACATTATCGAAGTTAAAATTAGTATTGTTGTGGTTGTGGACGTGTAGCAGTGTGGGCGTCCTGGTTGATGTGCTGTCGTAACCCTGGGTCCTTCTAATATAGTCTGGTACAACTGCTACACCAAAGTTTGTGTTTGTGGATGGTGCTACACCAAAGTTCCTGGAAGAAGTTTCAATATTGAAAGCTTCAAAAGCATTGCTCCTTTCACCACGTTCTGAACGATCTCCACAACTTTGGTCTACAACAAACTGTTCGCGTTCTCTATCCAAGAAAGCTCTCTTCTCCGTGCCTCGTTTTTCCGCGCCTGCTCGGCCTCCGTGTTGGCTACCTCGGTTTCTTGATCCACCACGCTGACTGTGATAACCCCCTGGCTTATTTACACTACCACTGCCACTTCCGCTGCCTGCTTTGCTTTTCATTGACCCAATTAAAAATTTTCTTGCTTCATCATGATATTAAGTTCTACTTGACTTCATATTCGTCTGACTCTGACAACTCCAGCACTTCTTGCTGCTCATTATGATGACTAGGGAAGTTGCTCCTCTGGACCCCACGTGGCAAATATAGTGGGCTAGGAAGTTCCTCCTTACTGCAACAAGATTTTTTTAGCTTCCTTGACTATTTTGAAAACGAGAAAGAGAGAAGAAAAAAACTCAAGCAGCTTGAGAGGCTCAAAGAGTTGCAACGTCGAACGCGAACGAGAA